ATGTTGTGCGATTAAAAAAATCCCACCAGATGACATAAATGGTTTCCATGTATCTTTGGAAAAGTGGTTGGCGAAAGTCCGGACAAATGTCGTGTCCGGAGTTAAATGTCGCACTGTTGTTAAACATGCGGCATACACTGGAAACGTATTAATTAATACTGTTTCCCGATACAAATGATATGCAGCTAATAGAATGGGGGAAACAGAGAGAAAAGATAAGAAAAGAGAGGGTATATAAAATTCATAAATTCAATACTGGCCACAAACCAAATATTTGCACAATGGCTATAAATTAATTTTTTTTAACATTTATTCTTAAAACAGCTTTAGAGATGGTGACAACAAGAATACAGATTCGAAATTTACAATCTTCAAAATTTTCGGAACAATTTCGTAACTTACATATTTCAAGAGCATTTCATACCAATATATCTATTCTTAAAACATGTTTAGAAACTTCTTTTCCCTGAAAATGATAACTACAATTTTCTGGCGTGTTCGATTGTCATGCATTCTTACAGTTTCCTGAATAATGATTTATCCTTAAGGTAGTCCAATTCGAGGTTCTGAAAATTAGCAGTTAAGTAATTGAAAATGCTCACAAAAATGTCTCTGAATTCACAAAATAATGAGTATTTACCAATGTTATTTCTTCAAAGTTCATTATTATAGTTTTAGTTTTCAAATTATATAGGGGAAATTATTCAATCTCAAATACATGTTCATTTTCGGGAATCACAAATGAAAGCACCAGTTTTACATTTTCTTTTTAAAAATTGATCATAAATTTAAGTATATTTTGGGATATAAAACAAAAACTTAAGGTATCCATGCAGGCATTCGGAGAAAATGCATGTTTTTCATACATAAACTGTTTTATGACTTCTATCAACTTCAATTGTTATATATAATTTTCATAGTGTAAAAAGCTCGAGTTATCATTTCGAAACACATAGCAGATCACTTCCAATTTCATATCATGCTAATAAGCGTTGGTATCTTCTTAAAACAAGATGACAGGAAATTTGATTCTTCTAAAATATATTTATTTTTGTACTTTTATGGGGATGCAAATATCAATTTTTTTACAAGACCGTTCTAAGACTACAAAAAAACCTTGAATCATATTGAGATACATGAAATGAAAATTGTCGCAGGAAAAGATCTCAATATCGAGCTTCGTTTTGAGACTTAATCAATTTAAACATGATTTTAAGAGTTGTTGATCCTGACTGAGCGGATATCTTTAATAAGGTAATTTGAGGTGTAATGATTAAAGATATCAAAGCAAAAATCAAATGAAGTCAAAAAAATGTGAGAAAGCAAAACCAGCACACCACTTTTGTCGGTTTGTGGTCAGTGATATGAGCAATGTCACCAAATCGAACACACGCACCGGGTAAAACGTAAACATTATATTAATACCAGAGATCATGTCAATGTTCACAGGTTGTGAAGAATCCTGTTGTCATCGAGTATTTAAGAAAATGTAAGCTCGTCATTAAACTGAAACTATTTAAACAATAAAATGCTTTCTTTGGTTGTTAGTACGGGAATTAATGCTGCAGCTATTGCAGAAAAAAATACATTACCCACGTAAGTGGGTTATGTAATTTTTTTTCTGCAATAGCTGCGACGTTACTTCCCGTACTAACAACCAAAGAAAGACATTTTATTGTTTATATTCATATCTGTATAAATAATCATTTAAAGTAGGATTAAAGAGATTAAATATTGTATTATTGATATGTACGTCATAGTATGTTTCATTGATGGAACAGCCACTGATCTAGAAATCTGTACAGGTGATATGCCTACTGGGCCATAGTGTTGTTCACGAACTGATAAATGGCAATGGTTTTCTTTAGAAATAAAGGAGAAAATATTCAATCGATGTAAATATTTTCAAATAAAAATAGAAATTCTAAATAAAACAGCAATGCAAGTGTTTTCTATGCCTCTTTAATGGTAGATCTTTCCAAATATTTACACCTGAACATTTAGGAGATTTTTTGAATAGAATTATACGAAGTTTTGTTAATCATGGATTTTAATTTGATATTTTTTTAACTCATGGCAAAAAGACGCCCAGTATGAACTGCAAAAGTGCATTATCAAAGGTGGCTTCCTGGACACAGCGGATTGGGCATGCAGAATAATGATGTTTTTGTACTTCCTCTTTCTAAAGGAGCATTTGACGAGATTGTTATTAATTTTTGATAGTTCGCATAACAATTTCAACCTCAGAAGTAATTCATGATATCAAGAGAAGGAAATTATTATTTATAAACCCAATGCCGTTTTCCTCTCAGACACGGAAGAGCAAGTCTATAAGACATTGATTCGAAGAAGAAAACCCCCCCAACAAATTTATTCTTTTGCACGGCTTTACCACATTTTATAAAGAAAAGACTTCCATATCTCAAAAGTAAAATTTTATTCCTATCAAAATAGAAAAAAATGGAGCGATAATTAATAATTACAATTTGGTATTATTGATAAATATTCACACACACACACACACAACACAAATTACAATTTTGTATTATTGATAAATATTCACACACACACACACAAAGGGAAAAAGATTTGTCATTACATCAATTATAATACCAAAGACATCCCCCCCCCCCTTTTCCGTGCTTCTGTTTGTTTGAATTTCATTTCCAATGCATCAAATTCATTTGAAATAATATATTTAGACAGAAAATGACTTAATGTTGATTTACTGGGTCGAGTGAAATGCATGAAACCTGCAGAACACCATAATCAATAGACAAAAGTAACACTCTCTAAAATTATTTATGTACAAATTATTTAAAAATTTAGAAAAAAAAACCGCTCTTTAAAAGAGCAAATCAGGACAAGGCCAATGATCTTATACATGTATCTACACAATTTTTCTGACCATGCCAAGAAATCCCGTCCATTTTTCCACAGCGATGGAGTCAATAAAAGTGTAATTGATGCAAATCACCCATATTCCCCTAACGCTGGCGAGACAATTAACGGCAGCAGATTTGAGGGGATGGATCCTAAGTTTTCCGTTTTCTTAGTCAAAGAAAAATAAACTTCTACCCCAGGAAGTAGCCTCCTATGCCCTGAAAAAAATAGTTCCTGTCAAAAACCTTTATTTATTTACAAAATATGTAAAATGCACTAGACACAGGTACCAAAATTGTAAAAATAGACTGGAAGGAAATTAAAAAAAAATTCAAAAGGAAAAAATAATAATTTTATATGTATGGAACTACAATTGATAAGTTCATTTTCATTGGTCAATTACCGCTATGATACCTTAATAAGGCGCGAGACTTCCACAACAACCAAGTTCATCGTGCCCGATGTTAATTTATACTAGGAAAAAAATATTTTGATATATAAACACTGAAAAATTTGAAAGGCGTCTAATTTTTACTGAACAATTAATTAGTTCACTACAATTTATTTCATTCTTTTTCATTTTTTTTTTTTTTTTTACTTTTTTAACCGCATATGATTTGCATGGAAAATCGCCCCCCCCCCCTAAAAAAACCAACAGGAAAAAAGGTGCAAAGGCTTCTAAATAGTTAGTATTCTAGCTTTAATTTCAAACCAGTAAAACTTAAGATCCTTCCCTCAAAACTGCTGACATTAATTGCCTCGCACACATCTCCCTGGGGAAAAATCACAGATTAACGCTAATTCCGCTTTTATTGAGTTCGCTCTAAAACTAGAATGCGTACCTTTTCTTGGCATGAACAGAATTGCATTTGGAGTATATACATGTACCACTTTTACAATTCTATAAAATATCAGACCAATATTAATCTGATGAATAGCAATCAGTTACGTGATAAAAGGTAAAATCTTCGATCGAATTTCCTGGACTTGCAGGTTGTTACTATTTGTACGTGTTAAAATTCCTGCTTGTTTCTTTTCCCACAACCACAATCGGTTAAAAATGGTTAAAGACAACCATTAAATTTGATGAAAAGGACGACCTTTAGCACGCAGCTCCAGTAATTGGGATCTCAAAGATTTCACAAGAATTACACATATGTATTTTACATAATAATCTTGTACTTTTTTGTGCATTCAAATCAATTTATGCAAACCATTGTCAATCTTTTAAAAAAAATCCACTCTCGATCCAATCGGTGCTTTATCCTGAAAGGAGAGGAATCATGTGTTGTTGCCAAACATCCGCATTAACCAAATCAATCATTTCTGCTTTGAATGTTTCTTGCTCTTCCTCTTTACTTTTCTGTTTCTTCTTCTTTCTTTCTTTTTCTTCTTTTCTGGAAAAAAAGTTTGATTTTACAACAACAAAATATTTAAAGATAATTTTTATTTTCCTGCAAGAATAAAACAAAATAGCAATACAGAAAGATCCATGTAACATGCAACTATATCTGTATTGTAATTCCTTCTTTGTCATTAATAAATACCATACATTTTGTGTCATGTATGTCGTCCACGTTACCTTTTTCATCGTAAATATGAAATGAAATTAACAGTGAGACATAGAATAGATATCATGGTTATGGGAAAATATGAATTAAATTCTCCCAAAACTTAGTTTTTTGGGGAAAAAATTATTGCAACTGAGTTTCCGAGTCTTTTTGAGATAGATTTATATTATGCGGTAAAAGAATCTTTGAAAGCATTATTTAAAAGTATAATAAAATTATTTCTGCATTAGTGTTTTTTTTTTTTTAAATAAAAACGAATCCTTATTACTTTACTTATATGTTGCTTTAAATCAAAATTAGCGCTAGATAACTTTTTTGACTGTGTGCTATTTCAAATTCCCGAAATTGTGATTAAACAATTTACTTTTCGAAATATAAATCATCGGATCCAGGAAAGGGTTTTTAAAATTAATTTTTTTTTCAAAACGAAAATTTTTAAAATTACAAATACAAATGCACATAATATGGATTTTTGAAAGATTCTAGAATTATGGTTGCAAATATATTTCTACGAATTTTTTTTTTTCTTTAAAGAAAAAAAATGAGCTAACCTTTCTTCTCAGAATTTAAGGTTACATCGTCCACCACTTCATCACAGATAGGATACCTCTGCTGGTCCCTGCTTAAGACTATAGGAATAAAATCGTCATTGACATCAAATTCTTTCTTCGTAGACTATTAGTATACTTATTATTATAACTCTTTTTATTGAATGAAGCCATAATATTGTCTAAATGAAATCATCTTCTTAAATGCACCGTTCATATTCTATCATTCGAAAACGTTCATTATTTCTTTTACCATGATATAGAATAAATACAAAGGTTTCGAAGAGAGCTTACATTTCATACAAATAAGAAAACCCTTTTCCACAGAAGTCTCACAAGTTTTAAGAGGCATATAATCTGTTTTGAACTTCAGTTTAACATCCTTTAATTCGGTAATATTAATTTCTAGATAGCCAGATCCCCTTGATATCTGTTTTAAAACGTTTCCGTGCTGAAGGAAAAGTTCGTCATGTTTTTCGTTGATTTCAGACCAGAGAACCCGCAGTGCCACTTTCATTTCAAGATGTTTCCGCTCAGTTTTAAAATTTAAAGAATGAATAGAGTTAGTATAACAATACTTGTAATTCCAAGGGAAATTCTGATGACTTCGAACAATTATTGTCTGATCTCCCAGTTCTCGAATCATGACGTCACTGGGGGACCTTTCTAATGTTTCATTTGAAATCAAATCGTAGATTTTGGTCTCTACAAAAGAGAAAACAAATATGAATTACAGAAAGTAACAGAAAAGAATTCTAAGCCACATAATTATGGATAATTAAACAGATGTAATGTTTCCCTCAATATCATATTAAAGTTTTAATCAAAGAGCGAAATAAGATATGTAAATAATTCAATACAAAGTTCCACTCGTACTTGCCTATCCGTTTTACTTTTCAAAAACAGGTAGAACTGACAGAACCAAAAGAATGAATAAAAAACTTTTGACTAGAAAGGTATTAAATAATATTTTATTTTTACTTGGATTTCTTGAAGACTTTCAACTTGAAACCGATTGTTTGCTTTCAACTAGCGAGAATACACTTAATAATAAGTGCAAAATTCTTATTAATGGCGCATTTTAAAATTCCGTATATATTCTGTATATATAGCAACAATGTTAGATGTCTGTTAACAAATAACAGAACTTCTCCATGCAAGATCACCGTAGCAGGTGACTGAATTGTCTTGCTGCATTTAAGGAGATGTGGAGATCGTGAGAATAAAAAAAACGAAGCAATTAAATCGTGCATAAAGACAGACAAACATGCATAAAAACACAAAACTGGTCTTTCAAAAAAAAAAATTACTTTCGTACATTCCCGGAATTAGGATTTTTTTTTTACATGCCATGGTATATATATTCTAAAATCTCAATATAACAATGAAAATTTGCTACGATGCATAACCTTTTTTTAAACATCTCATGTTTTTCTCAAACCATTTTTCTTTCCTTTTTCTCCCCTTTCTCGTCTTGATAATGCAGCTCTTTTCCCACATACAATGGATCGGCGAGTTCCTCAGATCTTCCCTCAGGGCTCTGTAATTGTCTGTGTTAAAATATTTTTGGGTATATCCAGATACTTGCATCAGCTGACTCTCGTTTGTACACTTGACATGTAATTCTTTAAAACGTTGTTTCATCCTCACTTTGCCTACAATTTTCAATTCAGGTTTTTTAATTATTCTTTTTTATATCAAGGATATTATTGCATGCTGTTTTCTTGTGCATATGTATGTGTTGATTTCTAATATGCCACACAATCTTACTTTTGAATGAGAACAATTGAAGGACAACGATGTCTCTTCATTTACCATTGATTATGCTATTAATTAATGTGAATTATATTCAATAACTCTAGAAAACATTATATTTGTGAAGATGTACATAGAAAACATCACAATACTCACCTATCATGACAAACAGACAGACTGTCAGTACTTTGAGATTTGCTGCTGAGTACAAAGTAAAGGACATTTCTCTTGAAGCTAATACTACAGATTCTCTAACAGTATCGTGTTTTGAAATAATCAGAACTGAATTCCTTCTCACATTTTTGTCTGCAAATTTTCCTGAAGGATTTTCGGATATAAATACTTTATATAAGTTCCGTCAATTGTATACCAATTTAGATAGGCGAATATTTCCGTTCTTGTCTAATCGGGAATTTGTTAAATTTAATACAGTTTCCTTTAACTTCCTAACAATGGAAATATGTCTGCCTTTTGTAATGGCACAGTGCTGGCACCGTTCTGATTATGATCTTAAATTTAAGGACAATCAATGAAAATGGTATAATTCAATTGCAGAATTATGAAATTCATTGAGATAGATGACATTTGTAACCTATCATTGTTGAATCGGGCGGATGCAAGGAGCACAACATGGGGTCTAACCTATCTGTGTTAATTTCCTCAACCAATTCAGCAAAACTTTACTACAAATATTTCAAATGGTAAAACCAATATGTACACTCTATGCTAATCAAAAAAATACCCAGAAATATTTTGCAAGACACTTCTGTGATTACAGAGAGCATTTGCAACTGTGTTTTTTCGAGTTGCAGTATTGAATTTTGCAACTGTGTTTTTTTTTCACCTATGAGTTGCAGTATTTAATGCTGTTTTCTTTGTTTATAAGTGATCTTTTCGTAATGCATCTTGTTTTAGTTCTATATAAGCAAAACCCATTAACTTCGCAATTCAAAATACCATGTACTAGTATTTGATGATAAGAAGTACATCTGAATACATTTAAATGAGTGAATGCCCTGCGTTAATAACTCAATTGCAGTATATCAGAATAATTATGATTAGGATTTAATATTATCATTATAATCAAAATTAATTAAAATTAATGATATATTGGTATTTTTAAAAAGTTACATAAAATTTGCATTGCAAGGACACATTGAAAGGTAAAGCTACTACGAATCACCGCATACATAAAATACACTAGTAACTGTTGCACATCACTGTCGAGAATATTAAGATAAAGAGAAATACCAGTCTTCAGATTTCTTGCTATTTTTTCATGGCATTTATTAAGTGTTACTTGTGCCTAAACCTTTATGAAGTATAGTTTACAATGTGCACGTATTCTTTGTGTTGCTTTGACTGTACTTTATAGCATATTTGACTATGCATTACATACATGAATATAAGGGTTCTAATACACTGAATGATCGCCGAAGAACCATGCAGCTGTAAATCCTTTACTCATGACAGCGACGGGATTAATCAAAATAAAACCAAAATTAACACATTAAAACCAGGGCGGGGGGGGGGGGGGGGGGTTAGAACAAAGTCAAAAATTTTAGACATGAAGTATGCAAAAGATGGAATGATGTGATGGAAAACATGGCGATGTCTGAACGAGCATGTGAATAGAAATGAGTAAAATAAAAGAGAATCATTAATGCAGTTTGTGTTTTACGGGTCAATTAAAGTAAGTGGTGTCCGAAATCGTCCAGAAAAGCAGATGAAGCAAAATGGTCAAGTTAGCCTCCAACTTTGCTAGCCTAGGGGACGACTCCCCTTCTTTTCACAATTTAAGAGAAATTAAAAGTGGAGAGAGGCGGATCGTCATCAATATCTAGCGAAGATGGTTGAAACCACTTAAAGAAATTTAAAAATCAATCTGTAGCAATTTATTAATCATTATGCCATAATGTTACATAATTAATACTTTTTTAAATTTTACCTTATTTCATCTTATTTGTAATTTATTTTTGACTGTACATTTAAAGAATACTAGTATTCAACTAATAAGTAAAATATAAAACATATTTTATATTAATTTATATAAATAAAATATATTATATCAATTTTTTTGTTAAGCATTAGATGTGGGAATTATTAGACTGTAAAAATATATTAAGCAAAATGAATTTGAATTATGGGTCATTCTGGAGATATAGTTATATTACAATTAAATTATTTGAAAGAAATTTCTAAATTACTCTTAATTCAAAATTGTTATTTATTACTCTCAATCATAATATTTTTTTCCATTTCCTTACTACTAGTCATATTGATTTTATGGTTTATGGCAATGCATGGTCACCAACCCCTTAATTAAGCAGCAGTGCATAGACATTGTTAAGAAAAATTGACAGTACATGTATATTAAAATTATATCATAATTTCTTTTTCTAATATCTGAAATATCTAGCGGGAAATACGCACCTCATCCCCTTATTCGAATCCATGTATAATTGTAATTAGGAATGATATCTGATTGATAAATTTTAAATCTATTCACTATAACTCTTCTTGACCGTTGGCGAGTAAACAATCCATTACTAAATCAATAAATATTGCGAGAATAAAGGAAACAAGCTAATTCAGTCATGAAAAATGTACCATTATTTAAAACAATTCGTGAAAACGTGATTGATTCAGTTTCAGCACCAGCAGGTTACGATTTCTCTCTTAGAAATGAAATAAGTATATAATTTCGTCCACTTCTGCAGACGACAGTCTACTGCAGAGTTTGTTTATAAGACCAACAACAGCAAAATTCGGAAATTATTTTTCTTTTTTTTTTTAATCAAAGCTTTAAAAACATAAGGTATATAATAAAGTTCAAGAATTCTTACAAAATGTTCCATGTATAATGGGTACTAGTGCATTGTAATAACTTCAATTAAAGTTCATGCAATACACGAGTAATAGTTTGAATATTGTAATTGTTTAATTTTTGCTATAACCGTAGACATGTACGACATGGCTAGACAAATTAAACACTTAGGTCTATTAAATTCCTCATATTTTCCTTAACATTGAATAGAGACAAACTTTACAATATCTAACGTTTGAAGTTTGTAAATAATACTATGAACAGTTCCGTAAACTCGACAGCTACGAGTATGGTAGTCCGAAAGCATCAATCCAACGAAAAAATTAAACATTCAAGATCTTAGTTCAAAACGAAGAAAAAAAAGTAATATATTACGACCACGGCTATTGCATTTTATATCACTCTTTGGATATGCGTTTAATACTATTACTATTTAATCAAAAAACAAATTGAATCCCTGCAAGTTTTTTAACCAATTAAAAAAAATTAAAGATGACAGCCGATTTAAGGCTACTCATAATGGTGTAATCTTGACTGTGATATGAAAGAGACGAGTGGAATATTCAACCTTTCCATGTATAAACGACATTCATTCATCATCATTCATATTTATTTTAGAGTACACAGCATTTGTTCAACACATTGATGACTTTGAAATTCACACCTGGTATCCTCGGACACCGTAATTGAACTTAAGTGTAATTAGTAAACTATGTCATGACACCAAAAGTAGGAGAGTCATTCAGAATCTCAGGTGAAAAAACAAAATTTTTTTTAGTAAATTTATTACAAGAATCAACAAATAAAAATGAAACAAATAGCAAGAAATGCGTTCGTCTACGAATCGCTTTGCACTAGCTGTTCCTTCCACGACAATGTCGGCTCTCTTTGTGCCAAAAATATACATAAGGTAAAAAAAAAATTAAAAAAATCTACACGTCATCAATAACTAAAACAAACCTGAATTAGGGGAGGTAATGTAATTACAATAAAACAATTTTATTTTTTCCTGAAAAAAGTTCCTGATGTTTTCGAACTGAAATTATCCTTTTATGGTTCTATTGTTTTAACTGCATTGTGTATTCCTTAGGAGAAGTGCATTATTCCTTTGACAATGATTATAAAACTGGTAGAAAGGTCTCAGTGAGAGCTACATTTCATACAAACAAGTAAACGCCTTTCTGCATGGTCGTCAGAGGTTTTTCAAAGAAAATAATCTTTTTTGAACTTAAGTTTTTATGCCCGTTAATAATCAACAGATGCATGTAACGTAGAGAAAATACTAGTGCTTTGAAGGAAACTGACAAAAACTATATGCACATAATATGGATTTTTGAAAGAAATTAGTATAAGGGTTGCATATAATACTACGAATAAGATCTTTTTAAATTAAGAAATTTAGCTAAACTTTTCCGCAGAAATACCATTACGTTGTTCATCACCTCGTCACAGATAGAGTACCTTTGCTGGTCCCAAACTATATATATAAAATAATCATTGACATTCAAATGCTTTCTTCGTGGACTCTCGATATACTAATTAGATTTTTATTGGTTATTGAAATCAGAATCCAATAATTGTCAAAATGAAAATTATTCTTTTATCGTTCGTTTGTTTTAAATGCACTGTGTATTCCCTTTAAAAAGTTCATTATTTCTTTGACAATGATGAAAAGCGATAAAAAGATCTGGCGGAGAGATCTCATTTCAGACAAAAAAAACTCTTTATACAGAAGTCTCGCAGGTTTACTAGAAATATAATCTGTTTTGAACGTAAGTTTTACGTCCTTTAATTCGGTAACAATAATTTCTAGATACCCATGTCCTCTATATGTTTCAAGACATTTCCGTGCTGAACTAAAAGTTCGTCATGTTTTCGTTGATTTCAGACCATAAAACCTGTAACACTACATTTATTTCAAGATGTTTAAGCTCATGCAGTTTTAAAATTTAAGGAATAAATAAGGTTAGCATAACAGTATTTGTAATTCCGAGGTAATTACTGATGACTTCAAAAAATAATTGTCTCATTGATCTTATTCTCGAATGGTGACAACATTGGGGATTTTTCTAATACTTCCTTTGAAATCAAATCGTATATTGCCGTCTCTATAAAAGAAAAGAGAATGATCATGAATAATTATAAATTACCCCAAACATAACTTAAATGGATTAGTGCATCCTAGACCAAACAAATATTGGTAATTCAACAGTTGTAATTGCTTTTCTCTCAAATGAATATTAGTTTTAGTTAAAGAGTACAATACATAAATGCAAGGAACGTAACATGGTGTCTAACCAAAGTATATTCATTTCCCCGAATAATTCAGAAAAACTTCAAATATTTCAAATGTCTAAGATCCTGTATGTTCACGTATACTCAATGCTTTATATCATGGTAGTGATATAGACAAACATTCGAAATCAATGTTTTGCATGACACTGCAGTGATTAGAAATAACATTTGCATCTGTTTTTCTTCTACGTTTGAGTTAGTTATTCGATTTGAATATCGACCTACATGTACTTATTTATTCAAAGTGCAAGCAATTCAAGATCTTCAAAAGTATCTCACCCAAATGGCAATTTAAGAGCCCATTAAAATAAGAAGTACATTTGAATACATCTTAATGAATGCAAACTCTTACTCAATCAGCAAGGTATTTAGATTTTTTTGGTCATTTTTGATCATATGCAACATCATAAATGATTATGATTTAGAATTATCATAATCATGATATTACGATGACCGATATATTCATTATTGCTATCTCAGAATATTTACTCAGTTTACATTACAAGCCAAAGTGATAAGTAAAACTTTACAACCTTTATCAATTAAAGTATATATTTAACATTAAACAAGAATATTAAGAATAATAAAGAAAAGATAACGTGTCAATCAACAGATGTCGTGTTATTCTATTCATTGCCATTCAGCGTATCTTGTGTCGTCATACGAAACGGCTTACTGATCTATTTTTCTTCAGCAATGTTGCTTTTATAATGCTTTCAAAACTGAGGCAAAGCATTTCGTTTTATGAATGTAGAATTCTATTTATCAAATCCATAAATCCTTTAATATATGAATGCATATATTTTTTTATTGCACTTGAAATTTGTAAAATTAAATATTAATACTTTGTAGTATATAATAAAATCAATAAATGGGAATTATTGGCTTCTATGGAGAGTATTTTGTTGAATAAAAATTAAATTAATAAAATAAAACTTAAATAAGAGATTACTATTAATTACTTTTAAATTGTAATAAATTATACTCGATCATAATTATTTATATATATATATTTATATAATTTTATTTTGCAATTACAACATCCCATATACCGATGCTTATCTTTTAATACATAGAGGATGTTCTATGTTTTGTAGTTGAATGTGGAATTTGTTTCACGAGTGGGGCTGGAAATTTTTTTTTTTTTTTTTTTTTTTTAAATATCAAAAATTCTGTCTCACGTGTATTTATCATTTTGATAATTTTTCACCCTATGAAAAACATCACTTTTATTCAATAAATAATTACATTATTTCACCTTTGAAAAAATAATAGAACGTTTTATTCTCGTGTGAACTTGTCCAGACAAATGCATCACATCATTCGGATATTGATTGACCCGATCAAATTGATTTTAATATTTATGACAAGGCATGGTGGTCACCACTATTCCTTTAAGAAAGCATGGGTACCTGAAAATTGCAAAGAAAATTTACAGCATGTGAAATTTATCAATTCTTTTTTTAGTGTCAGAAATTTAGCCGGAAATACCCACCTCAACCCCTTCTGTAAATCCATGTAATTAGGAAGGACAACCTAAATCAAAATTGCATCTGTTCAACGTCCTTCTATCTGACGGATCATCGAATAAATACTATCAAAATTCATACTGTGTATCTAATTCAATTTCTATCTATCTGTCATTATTCAATCGTTAAATATTACAAATGAAACATGAAATTAAAGCACTGAAAAAGTTTTTAAAAAAACTTACTTTGATATCTTTTCAGCGCCAGCAGAATTATCACTGAGGTTAGGACTAATAAGAAATGAATGCATACTTGGTCAACTTCTACTGACGTACTACAGCAAAGTTTGTTTTCAACAAACTAGTAAAGCAAAGTTCTAAAATTTGATTTTCAATTTTTTTTTTTTAAACCAAAGCTTCCGACACAAACGTTTAAAAAAAGAATTTTGTGAATACTTGGGAAACTTGCTATCCATATTATTGAATAACTTAACTCAAGTAAGTGCAATGTGTTAGTTAAAGCGGATAATTATGCGATCCTTCGTCAGGAATGTAGACATGTACAAAACGGTTAGAAAAATTAACCCCTTATTCCAAATAAATTGTTTGATAAGCCCAAGCATCACGTACTTGGACATGAGAAGAATTTATCAATATATATAAATATTTTTTTTCTCACTCTCTCCCTCTCTCTCTCCCTCTCTATATAGATATCCATTTTCAAAGAAAATCTCTCTCTCTCTCTCTCAATTTATGGATCAAGGAAGAGGTACTGGTTGTTGCTTTGAATTTTAACATGTACTACTATACATGTTCAATATATTCCATAAAAAATGCTATTGCTTATTAAAGTTATATTTTATTTGGATTACGAAAAACAATAATAAAATATACATATTTACACAAGGGTAAAGAACTATTTGAACTTAAGAAAACACTATGCAAAATTAACTTCTTCTCATATGTATGTACATGTATGAAAAATATTATAATAGTGGACAGTGATCAATCTCATAAATCTCGGGCTGCAAAAGATACTTATCGTGAACAGGGTAAAAGACAGAATCCTGGAAACACAAGTAGTGGAATCAGGTGTCTAGCAGGAGTAAGCATCCCCTGTGACCGTCATATCCCCTGTGACCGTCACACCCGCCTTGAGCCTTCTGTATTGATGAATCAACGGAGTAATTGGTATGAAATGATGGCCTAACAATTTTGTTATGTCACAGATCAGTCAAATACAATGTCTGTATTTGCAATGAAGGTCATGTTACAGCTATTCTACAAAAACATGACCAATTAAGAATTTTTTATATCGCTTACAAATTTACCGTTGTAATATCTTAACTATAGATTTAAAGGTCGATTTCAACTCTAAGACTTAACATACACACATGGTTTTGTAATAATTTACCGATATATATGCAGTTAAAGTTTTGATATGAACATACTGTAATGTTGAAAAACGTATTCCACTGCATACACTGCATACGCTTCATACATTTACAAATTTCAAGATGAAATTTTCAGCCGTAAAAGCGTTCCGAATAGATTGCAATGAATGTTAAAAAAGTTTTTTATTCAATTTTAAAAAGAGAACAAAGCACTTCTCGCAAAGAAATGCATGGATCTTCTTTCATGTGAAATCATAGCATGTCGCTAAAAATCGATTAACTTCCGTAACGATTTTGCTTTAAATTTCACGCACAGAATGCAGATTTCAAAAAGAACTGAAACCTATCTGAAAGTGACCACGGAACCTAATGCCATCGATTCTAGTTGCGAGTCAGCTTTTATAGACGATTACATTTTCGACATAACACAATTAATTAGACAAAAACAGTTGTCTCTCCTAAAAATTTAACTTCCGTAACGGTAATTCAGGAAAGTTTTTGCATTAAAGGTATAAACTTTTATTTATTATTTTGGGAGCGAAATGCTTCATACTTTTGTTTTATATCCTAAAACAAACTTTAATTTTAACTGTTGCCGAGAATTTTAACTTTTATAGCTTGGAATTAACTTCCGTAACGATTTACTTCCGTAACGATATTTTTCCCGAAATTTTTACTTAATTTCGGATTCATGCGAGACTTCATGAATCATACTTAAGCGTTCTATACTGAACATCAGAAACTAAAAAATGTTCAAATTCAGCTTTATTTAAAAATAATAAGACTTTGATCAGCATTAACTTCCGCAACATTACATTAAAATCAATGGTATATTGAAATTGTTGTAAAAAGTTAACGATACCAGATTTGTGGACAATTCTTTTTTTTTTTTTTCTTTTTTTTTTTTTGGTAAGTTCACTGATTTGTCATTTAGTGAGTTATGATGTTCACTTAGCTATTTGAAACAATTATTTTTTCATGTTTTATACCCTGAATTGGTCCATTTATCGTAGAATGAAGGTATAACGTTCATCGAATTTGCAAAATTCTGACTTCATAAGAGATTTATAACAGGCTAACAGCCATGTAACAAAATTTTACAGAGGAAAAAATCCAGTGTAAGCCATGTGCGACATTCAGAAAAAATATGTACAGAAAATGTATTTATATTCTAATACAACACATGACATAATATGATATCTTATTCAACGAATCCATGACTCCAACATTTAAATGTAGAAAACCATTAATCAGCTTTTAAATCTAAACGCTAGCCTACTTGATAAAGGGTGTCTTGTTCGTTTTTGGATATAATCGAATTTTGAATTGTATGGATCCATAGATTAAACCGCACTGACTTTTCAGTGGCGAAAAAATTTTGCAGCCCGAATTATTTATGAGTTTTTGATAAGCTGTTTTAAGTTAAAAAATTGATTTCTTTATTTTCTGTTAACTTGGAAAAGGTACATGAACATTAGATATTATTTACTGTCTCGTAATATACTGAACTGAAACAAGTGAAAGCAATCTTGTAGCAAACAGATCTACAACTGGTAAAATAAGAACACCGCATTAGAATATCTTTCTACCGATTATATATTACTATATTTTTTGGATAAAGTTGGCTTTCCGTTATTTAAAGAAATTACGAAACAAAAACTTGTGTTTCTAACATTGAATGTCAAACTACAAAACGTAACATAGAACAAATTAAAACTCTTCTCTTATTTTACAAGTTTCTATTTTTACAGTAAATAGGAGAAAACATTTAAAAGATTTTAGCGACACGATCTATTTCTTTTTTCGCTCTTTTTATTTCTTTTTCCTTTCTTTCTTCTTCTATTTCTTTTCCTCCTTTTCTTACCTGCAATTAATAAGTTTAATAATTAAAGTTGAGTAAATCCAAAGTTATGACGTTAGAGAATAACAAAATAGCTCAGAATGGTCTCAACCAACCATCACTGCCAATTACTACCTTTTCAATTTACAATACAGGGCGATGCTTTTATATGTTTGCATCACAATATTTAAGACACCTATATTGATATGACTTTGTTATTCTAGTAAAGTTATCATGTTATTTTAGAAAGCGGTTGTTAATATGACACAATGGCTGAAATAAATTTTATTTGTTCTTTTCTGAGAATCAGCAGACACCTAATAACTTTTTGACTTGAAATCCTCAAAGTATATATACATGTATATCAATATAATAAAAACAATTTCAAGTCTACGAAAATAAAGTACTTGTTCATAAATAAAATATATTATATTGAATAAATTAAAGCATTAGAATGTTAGCTGGGACATCAAAATGAAATGATTCTTTATCTGTCCTAAAATAAAAATCATGTAAAGAAATCTAACCTCTTTTATTTTGTTTGATGAACGTTTGAGCGCTTACTTTGTCCATCACTTCATCACATATCGAATTGTTCTGCATACTGCTTACAACTAAAATTTAAACAAATCACCCCGATCTCACAATATTTTTTTTCATGCGTTATGAACATAAAACCACTTAAGGATGACATTTACTCAGACAAAAAACTCCACCGATAAGAGCGAAAAACCATCTAAGGTACATTGTACATCTATAATTGTAGTATTATTATTGACTTTCAAATAACTAGGCCAATGACCTATTTTTCATGCTTGTAGCCCCTGAGTATTTCTCGGAAAATACCTCAGTTTTTTACACTAATATTTCTTTTACTCAAAGAATATTACAAGCAACAAAACTCTTCTAGATAAAAGGTTGTATTTGTTGTATTTGTTGACAAGGTCATTGTATGGACCATAAAACTTGCGAAATGATGACTTCAAACAAAACTGTTGATATCCTTGTTTCATCAACTTGTTTGTCAGTAGCTTGCTTCGTTTAAGAAATTGTTCGTATGTAGAGCATGCTCATGTGCATCGTATCAACTGGGAGACAAAAAACCCCATATGCAGGTGATAAGGGTACTGTATATTGCTACATAAGTAAGGGAAGTTGTCGATTTAAAAATTGAAGTCATCCCGTTTATCATGAAGCTTTGTTAGTAGGTTACCATTAAAGTCTTTTTCTAGTAAAATATCCAAATATGAAATAGATGTGTCAGACTTTTGGGATCTTTTATTTCAAGCTCACTGAGATATATCGAGTGGACATGTGAATGGAAGTAACTATTGTTAATTGATAATACGTCACCGATATATCTTAATGTCGAGTTAAAGGACACAGCAAGTGTCTTCTTCTCGTTTAGAAGTTTTTGAATAAATTCTGCTTTATATAAATACAAAAATAGGTCTGCTAACAAGGGGGCGCAATATTACTCATGGGAATTCCAACAGATTGTTGGACACGTTATTTCTGGTGACGTAAATATAGTTAATAATGAGTACCTTAAATCACTTATTTTAAAGGGGCTAAACTTTAGGGAACCCCGGTCTATTAACTGGAATCATAATTTCATAAATATTTTGAAATAAATTCTGTGGAATATTACGCCAGGCGATGGACCAGACATGAAAAAGAAGCAGTGACACTTAAATTGTCAGAATGGATTAAATGTATCAGTTATATGTTAAAATCTTGCATTAAAGGGTTTTTATCACGTATCTATATTTCTTAAAAATAAAGCACTATTATATTCTTGAAACATATAATTATCGTTTAATTATGAAATAATGTTGAAAACAGCCGAAATTAGACGATAAAACGCCCGTAATATAAGGTCCTCGAAGTAAAAATCTCCAACAATTAGATAGGGGTCACGTGGTACTGAAACGTCATAGGTGTCAATAGAACTCGTAAAGCTTATCGTAAGAAAAATTATTTTGAATAGATTTTTACGCTAAATAAATAGAATACACAATATGGCCGGTTGAAATTTTGACATCGACTATATTCCTTTGGTTATGGACGGTCAATCTTTTATGTATGAACGTCTAGCAAAGAGAAATAACCAGAAAATATGCCGAGAAGTCACCGAAGACGAAGCTGTTGATTACTCGGGACTTCGACTAAAGAGAATGAATTACTGAAGTTTAACTTCGTAAACATTTATAAATATGGGGATTTTAAATTCTCCTTTATTATTATTTTTAATTAATTATACATAAATAAATCCAGTATATCTTCTATCTGTTCCAGCAGTGAATATCATGTAATAGAAATGACACTCTTCAATGGCGCCGTACGCCATTACGAAGTTAACAACATTCCTACTAGATTCTGTGCGATTTTTTAAAATGCGTGTTTGTCATTTATCATTTTTTTTTATAGGTATCTTTCCTTAAAATATTTTATAGGACAGAAAAAAAAATTGTGATCGATCGAACATAAACGATTGTTTTGAATGGAGATAAACGCCATCGCATTTGCAGAAAAAGGCCCCCTTTCATCTTTCGACCAAGTCTAGGAAATGTGGGAAAAAAATTCCTAAGACCTTTCTTGTGCACATTTGTGCATCCTAAGGTCATAAATTATACCTTACTAGCTGTCAATTATCCATTTATCAGTTAATTATTTTATAACAGGTTTAACAGACACAACAAATGAGCCCTTTTTTATACACAATAAGTACTTCGCTTGACCAGAATTGACACCTATGACGTCAGAGCAATGGCGCGTAACATCGGCGATCAAAATATGCATATTGAGAAATTCTTTGAATCGCTGAAACATCAAAAATATTAATTTTCTAGCAAAGATTTTTAAATATATGATTTTAATTGCATGTGAACTTTGTCATATCAAAAAATTTTGAGACGTGATAAAAACCCTTTAAGCGATTGAGGGGCAGTATGAAAACCATCTATCCTTCTGTGTTCAATAATTCGGAAGTGAAAAAAGAATTAGACTACACGATCAGTATGTACTGGTCCCAGCAAAAAAGCAGGTAACAACATTGTCTTTGTTTGCAAGGCTCATTATTTGAATTGTATTTTAGAAGAACTGAGATTTAATTCTACAAGTGGCAATCCAACTTATACCCATAACTCCCTTTCTAAGGAGGAAATTCTTCAAAATCACATGTCATTTTTGAATATTTTTAATATCCCAACAACCAAAATGAATTTTAATTATCATATTTATATTCTGAAACTTCATAAACATCCTTACAAACAAAAATACATAGCGGGTTCCAGTATATGTTTTACCAAGCCTCTTTACTCCTCACTAAATATTTACAGCAGTGAAGGAGAAACTTCAGGAGTGGGCTTGGTAGAACATTTACTGAAACCGCTGTGTATCGTCGTTTGTAAGGATTTTTTATGGATTTTCGTAATCCAGTGTAGGTATGGTGATTCAAATTCATCTTGATTGTTGAGAATATTAAAAAAATATTAAAATTGACATATGGTTTTAAAGAATTTCCTCCTTAGAAAGGGAGCTATGGGTATAAGTTGGATTATCACTTGCAGAATTAAATCCTAGTTCCTCTAAAATACAATGAAATAATGAGCCATACAAACAAAGACAATGTTGTTACCTGCTTTGTCAGCTAGGACCAGTACATACTGATCGTGTAATCTAATTTTTGTATCATTTCTGCATTGTCGAAGACAGAAGGATAGATGCATGTCATTGAAGTATTTGAAATAATACATGAGCTTTAACTCACACAATATTTGCAAAATGAGGTTTAAAAACACAAAGAATTTCAGCTTTTTGAGTAATATTGAAAGAAAAAAATATGACAAAAATGAAAAATTAAAATTTCATCTGAATTTCTTCTGCATCACCATAATTTTTACATTTGTTCTGGCATATTTTCTTCATATAATAAAATATTAAATTATTAAATTGATATTGATTTATAACATGGTTATTTTATGCGTCTATAACATTTTTGATTTAACATTTTGTACTTTATAGCATTCCATTTCTGTCATCTTAAACCCTAAGTAAACGTCATCCTTAAGAGTTGAATCTTTCGTTATGAATGAAAATCGTGTTAATTTTAAATTGAAAGAATTCTGAGACAGTTTGTTACTTTAAATTACAATGTACATTGATATATACACATTCATTATAAGAACTACATTACGTAACATACATATTTCCATTTTTTTTTTCATTGCACATGTTTAAAAACAAATTGTAAAATACTTAAGAAATCTTACTTTTCATACAGATTAGGAAACCCCTGCTTCCAGAGTCCACACAATTTTCATGAGCCACGAAATTCGTTTTGAATTCAAGTTTTATATGCTTCAGATCAGAAATGGCAATTTCTAGATAATCAGACCCTCTTCTTATATTTTTGGAATCGTTTCCATGCTGAATAACTAGATGGTCGCCGCGAATTTTGTTGATGTCAGACCACAGAACCCGCAGTGCCAAAGTGGAATTAATGTGCTTTTTGTAAGTTTTAAACTTTAAAGAATAAATCAAATCAGCATAACAATATAAGTAATTCCAAGGAAAATTACGTTGACTTCGGACAATAGTTGTCTGTTCTCCTAACTCTCTAATAGCGTCCTTTTCGGATGTTTCCTTGGAGATCAAATCATAGATCTTTGTATCTAAGCAGATAAATAAAACCCAGTGTTATATACCATAAACAGGATAAGCATTTTATATAAACAAAAAAATTAAAATGAACAAAAATCATTTATTTAAAATTGTCAGGTCTTGCAATCTTATTGTACATCGAGTTAGAATCATTTAGTTGCAAGATGCAAGGAAGAGGGACTTACATAAAATATAGACAAAAATAATATTTATTGTAATATTTTTTTCAGAGGTTATATCACTTGGATTTCTGGTTTGTTTTACTTTATTTCAGTCGTCTCGATAGAAAAGAAATATTTCAAACTTTCTTTGCAGGAATTAAATAAATTATTTTATTAGGCATGGATTTTTTTAAAATCAAACATTGTGAAATTATAAATTAATTTATGTTGTGTATTTCAATTATTAACATTATTAGAATGTTTTATTAAATGATTTCAAGCAACAGTACATGTTTTTTATTGTATTTTCGTCAAAGATATGGATGCTAAAATTTGGTGGATATTTGGAATGAAACAGGTAATGTTTGTTTAAAAAGGTCTAAAAATGCCAAATTTTGGAAAGATTACTTATGGTACCTTTTTTGAGACATCGCATGTTATTCTCAAACCATCTTTTCCTCCTCTTCAATCCTTTTCGTCTGATCTTAATCGTACATTTCTTTTTCCACATACAATATATTGGTGAGCTCCTCAAACTGTCATCTAGTAAATCAACACCGTCTGTCTTAAAATATTTGTTTTTGTAGCCAGAAACTTGTATCAGTTGACTTTCATTTTTGCACATGACAGATAATTCTCTCTGTTTCATCTCAACTGTGAATAAAAATATTGAAGATTAAAAAGTCTTTTCTTTCTATTTTTATTTTAATGTTCCCTTACTCAATATGCACACAGAAAATTTAGCATTTGGTTAAAGTTTCGAATGATATTTAACTTACCTAAACTTATTTAAACTTATAAATTAAAAAAAAAAGGAATGCATTATCATTATTATTATTATTATTATCATTATTATTATTATTATTATTGTTGTTGTTGTTGTTTAATTAATCAATAAATTAATTAATTAATTTTCAGCATTTATTTATTTTTATTATTATTATAAATCAACTATTTAGCAAAATTGAATAAAAATATTTGCTATATATATCATAATTTATAATGATACAAATAAAATTTAACTAATCACACGATGCCCATTACAATTCTTACCTGTAACGCTAATCAGCCAAAACGTCATTAGCAAAAGAACTGGTGATGCATACATAGTCATTTGTTTTGGATTATATACTTGAGCTTGTCTTAAAGCGTCCCGTTGCACATTGCAAATCAGATCCAAATTTACCTTATTAAATTATGTCAGGCTACTACAATTTCTGAGAGAATATAGGTTATTGTTGCTTTTTTATCATATCAGCTCATTTTATACGAACTTGTAAACAATGAATGGAGAACATTCTCAGACAATTTCCGTCCGTCCTCAGTTAATCACAGTGTATATTCAGCTTTTGATTTCCTTTAACAACGTAACGGACATGTCTAGCTTTTACACTCACACCATTTTAATATCAATTTTAAGTGTTGTTAAAATGCATAGAAGAAAATAACGTAATTTTGTAGTATGTTGTAGAATATGGATAATAATAAAGCTCCATTTGTAACTTGTCTCTTTACTCCAGCGGTGAGAGAATTGTAAAAAGAAAAAAAATTAGCAAAAACAGTTTCTTATCCCGTTCTTTATCTGAACGAATTCTGCACATGCATATGCTGATTTGTAACATCTTTTTGAAATGTACTTTATGCACGAATACTCTCATGGCCTTGAAAAACAAGAAATCGCCAAAGATGATATCGCCAGACACATTTGTAATTTGGTAAGAGGAATTCTTAATTAAATTGATCATTCATAATCCACCTACTCATTAAACAAAGAATTGAGACAGAATGTTACCCCATGTACTTATTCACGTCAAAGTCAACAAACCTACAAAATATTTCAAATATTATGGATACAAAAATGCATTCTTATCTATACATAAAAGATTACCCACATCAGGAGTTAGTTAATGAATTTCCAGGTCTCGACATGGGTCAACGCAACAAATTGAAAACATATAATCCTTTAGATTCTATAATAATTCTAAAATGTTTAATCATCCATAACAGAGAAGAAAGTGTTACATAACCTACAATGAGGTATAATTCAAGACCAAGGTTAAACTTCAATAGGCACATATGTATTTATATCATATGAATTTGCACTTTACATGCGTGAAGTAAGTCGTTTGAGACAATCGTTTCAGGGAATCCTCAACCCAGAAACATGTTTTAGTACTCATGTCAAATCAAAGGTTGAAACCAAAGTGGCGGTATCTCATTTTTGTTTAGTTATCTGTTAATGCTTAGCAAAAAGCACCGTTTTTCTCTCATTTACCAATTTAAGGATCAAGGCAAACTCTGATGGTGAATTGAAAATATCTCTGATTTTTCCATGTGTGATGCTACAAGATAATCTACCACAATGTTCAAAGAAAATTTGGGGGGGGGGGGGGGGTTGCGTCTCAGTTGACAATGGTTTTCTTGGAGTGAAAATTTTCAATGTTACCTTCAACTACATGCAGTATTTATATGATATTGCATCTTTAGGCATATGTTCAACAATATATGATTAAAAAATTGTATCCCTAAAAATCTTATAATCACTAAAGAACAACGATGACGAAATATTTAAGATTGTTCGCGCTTCTTGTCTTGGACTGGGATGTGAAAGAGACGGCTGGAGAATTCAACTTGTTAAACGTCATTTATTACTAATTTATATCAAATAAATGTACCCTGCACTAGTTCGACACATTAATATGATTTTAACTATTCTAAATACACAATATACTCAGTTTACGTGTTACCTTGTCATGACATCAAAATAAGAAGAGACAGGCAGAATCATAGGAAAGAAAACAACACTTTTTATTGTGTTTTTTTATTCTAACAAGAATAGAAACAAACAACAATAAAATAAATAGCAAGAAATAAGTTAGTCTGTAAATCTCTTTGTCCTGTTTCTTCTGCGGCAATGCCTGCGTCTCTTCTTGCCTAAAGTAGCCAAAAGATTGAAATCTTTAAAGAAACACCATCTATAAACTCCATTCATAACTTTAAAACAAATCTGGATCAACTGATCTGAATACCAAGTCTCACTTTAATACAATACTAATATTTTAGTGTTTTTAAGTATCTTAACATAAATAAAGTATAAATTGTAGGGATGGCATTTTGTAACCAGTTAACCGGTTACTCGGTCGGAACGATGGTAATCGGTTAAAAAATCTGTCATCGGATTGTCGAAAAAAAGATGTCCTTAAAATTCAATTTACGATTTAAAAAAAAAACTTGGAATATTGATAAGTTATAACGCTTTCACATATTTATTTCAGCTGATTTGGAGGTACATGTAGGCGATCCGGAGATCACTGGGGTAACTGGTCGGTTTGTGTAGTATTAATTGCTGTTGAAACATCATGTCGTTACCCAGCCTGTCTTGTATTTCTTTAATGATATTGATTAAACCACTGTTGAGCACTGTGAACTGATTACATAATGTATCTTACCCCGTCTATCCTTTTGCAATTACCTGTCAAATGATATTTTAAACACATATTGTAAATTAAGTGATAGTTCAGACTCGGTGTCTGTTTATGGTAGCATCTGATCTGAAAAATTATCAATGTCTTTGATATCTCATGGATGTTTTATGGTTTTTTAAATTTTTATTTTTCCATTTGAAATTGAAATAAAATACGATTCCTGATTAAGCATAAACAGAATGTTACTAAAATCTTTTTATGCCCCCGTAATCGAAGATTCCTTGCGACAAGACCTTCCCCTAGGTACCAACAATTTTGATCCTTTGACCTTGACCTTATACTTTTAAACTTTAACCTTGATCATAACTTTTGAACAGTTGGTGCTGGGGCTTTCATATTTCATATGTGTATTTCTTGTGACAAGACCTTCCCTTGGGTACCAACAATTTTGACATTTTGACTTTGACCTTGGAGTTTGATCTACTTTTGAAAAACTTTATAATATTCGCAAAAACTTTTCGACAGTTTGTGCTAGGGTTTTCATATTTCACAGGTATATTTCTTGAAACAAGACCTTTCTTAGGTTACTAACATTTTTGACCTTGACCTTCGAATTTGACTTGCATTTGAGAAACTTTAACCTTTGCCAAGAGATGCCATACCAGGGACATTAGTGTTTCACAAACACATATTGTTTTTTGTAGTTTTCTTGTATATATGAATAGAGTTTACTGGGAAAAAAGTCTGGAAAATGCGTATTACAATTAACCGGTTCATCGGTCGGATCGTCTTACGGTAAACCGATTAGCAATTCTGTAATCGATTGCCATCTCTAATAAATTGCATAAGAAATTCTGTCGTACATAGAACAAACTTGTATTCCTTTCTCATGATCAGGTCAAAGTTTCATTCCAACTTGGCATATTAAAGCCAACTTTGTTTTATAAAGTCTACCCTCTCATGCAAAATTTACTTGTTTTTTGCTCAATCCGTTTTATGGAGGGTTATGATTTGATCAAATTTTATCAATTCAAGAATGAATTTTTCAGACGTATAAGTATTTGCAATTTGAAGAACTCTTTAGTAGTTTTTTTCTGATTCTTCTGTATATTTCAGTGAAAATTTTACTTCACTTTGGCCCACCCAAGGCAGAAAATTTTGAGGATTCTTGCATACTGATTTGAAAATTTCTAGTTCTTCATAAGATTTTAATGCTTAGTACGTCCCGTATAATCAAAAATTATTTATTATTTTGGTGTTTCGGTTTTCTCTCTTTCTAAATAACCCATAATGTCCTTTTTCTTTTCTTTTTAATTTTTTAAAATTTTTTTTTATCAATATGCTTTTATTATAAACGTTTCCTTTCTCATAAAACACATTTTTTACAAGTTAAGTGGAAATTACATGAAATATAAAGACAACGAACAGTAATAAAGGCCAAAAGTCCATAAAAACAACACAAATAGGGAGCAGAACAAACACGGATCTTTTAAAACATAAGAGGTGAATATAGCTAGGTGCCATAGAGAAGTAAGCATCCCCTGTCGACAGGTCACAGCCGGTATGTGCTCCTTGTCATGATCGGGCAAACGGGAAAATCCGTAGACAAATCAGTGTGAAAATAATGGCCTAACAATTTGCACGAAAAACATCAGTAATCATTCGATTTAACGACAGATTGTATTTGATGACAGGGTCAGTGTATCGACCATAGTATTTCCGAAATGATGACTTTAAACGAGACGGTTGATATCCTTGTACCATCAACAAATTTGTCAATAAATGGCTCGTTTTAGAAATCGTTTGCACGTAGAGCATGCTCTTGCGTATCGAATCAACTGCGTACGGAAACTTTCTTTTTTGGATTTTTTTTTTAATTTGGATTTTCAGCTCATGCAATTTTAACTCTGCAATGAATCGCTTCTCGTAGGCCAAACATTTTAATTGTGTCTTGTTTTGATTGCACAATCCCAACACAAATTCGGTAATTTATGAAGTATGGGTCTACGAAAATTTTTATGAAATAAATACTTAGGGCATAAAATTCATGCACTACCATAATAAAATCGTCATGAATTACTGAAATGAGAAATGCTATAAATCATTACCTTTCATACATTTCTTTAAAGATGATTTGAGCATTGAAATTTGTAGTTGATCATTTCTGATGACGTCTTCACATGCTGAATTAAAATTCTGGGAAGTTTTATCCATCACTATGTAAAATAAATGGACTCATTTATAAGTCACAAAAATATTATTCGATCCAAATAAGTCACAAAAGATATGATTTGATTCAATTATTCAATTGATATTAACGTTGAAAATTTAGAAATATACATGTATCTACACACAGATTTAGATTACAAATTAGATAACAAATTACTGCATACTTGTATTTTTCTTTTAGGTCTGCATTCAATCTTATCTCTTTTAAGTCTAAAATAAAATTTACTTTAATCAAGATAAAACGTATGGACGTTCTCCATCACAAAAAAGCACACTGGAGAAAGACTTAATTCTTACATTTCAAGCACAGCACAAATCCGTCGGCCCTGGCTGTGTTCGAAATAAAAGAGGTAGAGTTCAACTCAATATCAAAGTATGAGATATTTTCAATGTCTATTTCAAGATCCTTTTCATTTGGAATGTTTATAAGCTTGTTGTAAATGATATATATTTTGTCTGTAGCTGAGTGTATGTCCATATGAACAACAGAAAGGACAATTTTTCGACCAATATTTTCCATCCGAATGTTGAATCTGAGGCGATGTAGAGGACGATTTGTTAGATATCTGTAATTCCAAGGAAAATTTTGATGACTTCTTACAATGATTGTTGTTTCAGGAAGATAGTATACGGGATTTTTTCCATTAAGTGTTTTTGTGGTGATTAAATCATAGATTTTGGTTCCTAAAAAAGAAAAGAGCCTGGTCGGTATGCGTTGAACAGCAGGATGATCAGAATAAAACATAAAAATGAACTATCACATTTTATCTCTTAATCTTAACGTCAATCATTTAAAACGAACATTTTAAGGCGATATGGAGGACCCATTTCAATCATAATGCTCTTATTGATGTGATATTGTATCTAGGGACAGAAAATTTTTAAAATCAAATTGACGTGCTTTCTATATTAGTTCATTTTTTTGAAGGGTATTATAGCATTAGTAATATCCTCTATGCATAATTGTATGAAAGATATAGTCGCAATTTGCTCAATCTAAAACTTATAACTCTCACTCGCATTCTTCCACAACATCAAGCAATTGGGAATGCAATATTACTTGTATAACTTTGACAGAAAGAATATATAGATTAAAGATTTAAATCATAAAGATTTTTTTAATCATATTTTTTCAAGATGATAAGCTAAAATTGAAAAAAAAAACATCAGATAGAGTTCTGTTATCTGAGTTTTTGTAATTTTTGAAATTAATCTTAAAATTAAGATTGTGTCTGTCTTACTGTTAAGTGTAAGGCTTTTTAACATGGTGTAGAATTAAAAATATTGAATGGAATCTCCGTTCCCACTGTCCTAAATGTAACTATACTGTAGATTTATATTCCAATATCATTATATTTATATCCTGACCTTAAAGAGGATATCCACTGTCTTTCAATACAAGAGTGATAAAATGTTCTAATCACCATTTTGGATGCATGGACCCCTCAAAACTTTCATAGAATTCATGTTTCTGTAACAGCCTGTTACCATGCGCCTTTTGTTGAGTTTGATTTTGCAGCGTTTTCTCCAGGAACAGTTGTATTTATGTGTGAGGAGTTGTGCTGACTGTCCCTGACAAAGACTACAATCTTTACCATAGAATCCCACCACTTCCGGTAAGAAAAGTTTCCCGCCATTGTTACAGGTCATCTTCAGAATGTGTCTACGCCGGAAATTTCTACAGGTGTCATTCTTTCCGCCTAAAAATGATCAATATCAAGTAAAATTGTTCCAATCGTTTCAAGTATTTAAAATTACTACGAGTATTAACTTTCAGTTTGCTGAATTTACATGTTACCTGGGTTTGATTTTTGACATTGCAACACTTGAGTTTGTTATCAATAAACAAAAAGAAATGACGTACATTTTACTTACATTTGCAAGGAAACGTGCAGAAAATTGTAATCAACAGGTAGACAATCACTCTGTGCATTTCTTTCACTTATTCCTTTGTTCTACTCAATCAAACATCATCCAGTATTTTACACTCCAAAGCGTGGATTCCGTTGGACGCCTTAAAGAACATTTTAACTTCACTAATGAATCGTTCAAGGGTTGTAATTGTTGTTGTTGTTTTATGTATTGGTCAGGCTGTTTTTGATGCATAAATGTATAATACAGATGTTTTGATTCCCTGGATCTGTACTATTTAATGTTTCTTTATAACGCAAAATCTAAGTGTTTTATTGAGCTTAGTGTGCTATGTTATCAAACTCTAGCACTTTGCACTTCGATATTTTTCTTTTAAACCCTTGATCTGCATATGCCTCTTATCTGAATAGACAGCATATTTGCTGCCAGTCGTCGGTGAACATGAATGGAAACTACTTAAGTTTGGTATTATTGTTGGTGGTTATTATCCTGATAGGTAAGGCTCTCGTTCATATAATAGGTGGGACAGTTAACTTTTTTGACAACAATTCATCCTGAAGCACGTGACTACTTAAATAGATCAATCTGTCTGCCTTAATCAATGGGGGAAACGTTATCGCGTTTTTAAATTTATCCCCATGCTTTGAGTAAAGATTTTTACAACTTATTTTTGCAGTGTTTATTTTTTTCCATCCCATTTAGATATAAATAATTTATGTTCTTTAGACTTTCACATCACGGTTTAATTCATTGAAAGCTAAGTTTTCTTAACCATTAACATTATTGTCCTTTTAAATTAAGTGCTGTACGTTTCATTCAATATAAATGTTAAAGTTGAAGAAATGGAGCTAGGCCTAATTTACATTAAATGAAGCTGTGTTCTTACAATTCTAGATGCAAAAGAGTGGTGTGTGGATCATCGACAAAATCTATCTAACTGCCATGAGGTTCATTTGTCGTGTAAAAAAGGCTTTGTAATATCGGAAGTAGATATGTACGCCGGAAATAACGACTGTGATCACACCTCAACTTGCAGGGGTCTACCCCCAGAAACTCAAGCAGATGTAATGTCTTGTTATTGGAAACAAAACTGCTCCATCAAAATTCCGTCACAATCAATTGTGTTCTTCACAAACACACTTACATTTACTCCATACAAACAAAAAGGCAATTGTTTTGTTATGCCGAAGTCATTTCACGTGAAGAAACTATCATGTACCAGTGCCACAGATGTAAGAGACATTTGTTACCAAAATGGAATGTCAACACTCCGTATACAACACAAGGGCCAAAGCTCAGGGATTATAAGAAGCCACAGTCAAACTCCATGGGACTATCCTGAAAACCAGAAAAACTGTAGTTTGACATTTTCATATCCTGTGTTGGATACAGTCTCCTATTACACCCTTTTAACGATTGTTTGGTTAGATATTAATTTTCAAAACAACAATTTAGTAGTTAGATACTCTAAGAATAAAAGAAAAAGAAGAAAAAATGTGAAGAAAACTCGAAATATAAGTATCCGGGGAATAAAATCATCTAGTGTTTTTATAGACTTTACAACCAACTGGCGCAAACGTGGAGCAACAGGAAAGGGGTTTGTGATATGTTATCGGCGTATGTAGCTATCTATATATTGTATCATCCTATTGCATCAAAGTACGAGCGATTACATCGCATAACTTTAAATCTCGTTTTGTATTTTTTCTAGATAAAGTCATTTCAAAGAGAAGTAAGAAAAAACGTAAAAACAGTGTAAAAAAGATACAATCACATCAAAATCGACACAGTAAAAAGAGAAGGACTAAAAACAAGGGTAAGAAATTTAGGATAAAGAGAAGAGCGAAGAGAAGGAAAAAGGATGCTTGCAGATCTGTAATGGAGGATATGGTTTTAGAGGGTGAAACAATTAGCCTTCATGGTGAGTTGTTCATGCCAACATCAACAAAAACTGTTTTTGTTAAATGATTAGAAATCTGGGGTCTGGCGGCACTGATAATATTACGTAACTTTGAGAAGCTGCACTTCTTATATATAAAGTTCATGAAGTGTTACTCCATTTTAAATTTTAAAACAGATGATCCATGGGTTATCCGATATGTTTCTTGCCAATCTTGTAATATTTTATCCTCTCATTTAAGAACATCCAAGATATTCTATCTTAAGAAGACAATATACACAGAATACTCACCATGGTCAGTTCGTAGTTAGCAATTTCAGTTGGGTGTGTGGAGGCAAAACCTAACAGGCATTCAAATGAGGTCATCAGACGTTATTTTTGATTTATTTTGTATATACAGTATATACAATGTATTGGTAAAATTTTGCGGGGCACATCTGTAAACAAGTTTTGTTTTACATTGTTAAGTATCAGTCAGTAAAGCGCTGGCTCCGTGATCGGAAGGTCGTGAGTTCGAATATCGGCCGCGACTGACCTAAGTCGATAAAAAAATAGGTAGCAACTCTTCCTTCGCCATGCCCTCGGCACTTTGAAGTGAAAGTTGCGGATCCTTCGGACGAGACCTTAAAAACCGAGGTCCCGTGTCACGACAGGCGTTGGCACGATAAAGATCCCTCACTGCTCAATGGCCCTGAGTGCCGAGTAAAGGTCAAAATTTAAAGCCCTTTACCGGTATATGGTGACGTCTCTATATGAGTGAAAAATTCTCGAATGGGACGTAAAACAACATTCAATCAATCAATCATTGTTAAGTATAGATTGGCAAAATTATAATGAGTTTCCTATAGGCCTGACATACTGGTGAAACTCCATCCCCGGTCCTACAGATCTGATTTAAGGACAGATGATAGAAACTTTTTTTTAAAAAAAATCTTGAAAGCAAGAACTAAAGCTGTGTTTATATAAGTAAAATGAATAAGTTTAATCGCAGAAAATTTCATTTTTCATTCTTATTTCAGTTTTTCAATATTGTCCAATAACGTGATGAAAATGTGTATAGATTTATTAGGGTAATGGCAAAAAGAAAGTTGAACATCGTAAAAAAGTTTCCATTTTTTTATTTGTTTTAGGGAATTGATACATGAACCAATTGCAATCATATTAAATTCCAAAAATATATCCGATTTTTTGTAGCATGTGTCCTTAAATACCTTGAAATTACCCACGTGGGTGAATTAAAAAATAATGACTAGCTATAGCAAATTGAATTTTTTTGAAAAAATTCAACTTGCCATAACATACAATATATTTTTCAATTATAACATCATTTTGATTAAACATTCTAGTGAAAATTTCTGAAGTTAAAAAAAAATTGACAAATGCATAAAAAAAGTTTCAGAACGTCATTTGAAAAAAAGAAAATATGACTACATTCTAAAAGATTTTCTGAAATACATAATCAAAAGAAATTGTAGCTTTTTTTTTTAATCTTTCAGACCTGTTTCAGGGATATAAATGATTAAATCTAAACCTTGATTAGGTTTCTCCTCTCGTATATGTGAAAAAAATTGGCTTTTAATTTGCTTTTTAACATTGTCTCTATTATAGTCTAAAAAGTTTTGATATGAAAAAATAATGATGTAATAAATTCTCCAAAAATTTACTTTTTTGACAATTTAGTCAATTCTTCAAATCTAAGCCAATACCGAAGCCTGATATAGTAAGTTTTCATATAAAAAAAAAGACTAGATTTTAAAGTGATCCTATTTGACCTTATTTTGTTGCACTCCTGACATCTGGTATGTTTTTTTTAACAACCATAGTTTAAAAATTTTTAACATGCAGCATCTCATTCTAATTATGTAAGGCAGTTCGTTTTTGATATTTTATATCACTAATTTCCTAACTTAATTATCCAAAATGTATGTCATGAATTTACATGTATGCAACTTAACGCGTGGATAGCATGATTATTTGAATTCGAAACCTAATTTTCCAAAATGTATGATTTCCCCGTCAATAGATAAATCGGTCTGTACATGCAGCCAGTTTTTATTTTAGTAAGAAAAGAAAAAAAATGCCAAGAAATATTTTTTAAAGCTCATTATGAAATAAATTGGGGGGGGGGGGATTAATCTCACACTATCCACACGTCAAGCGCCTGTGAAACTGTTAAACAGTTAGATACTGCTTATTCGATTATTGTTTGCTCTGGCTATCCTTAAAAGTTTAAAATGTAAGCGAATTGTGTTACTAATTATCGAAGTGTCAGAACAATTGTCACAGTTATGGTTTCTTCCAGGCGTTTGAGCAATCTTAAAATAACAAAAAATAATTTGTACATGGTACAAGGTCAAGTCCAATTAATAATTTTACAAACAAAGCCTAGTGAATTGGTGAGTAATTAAGTACAAAAACAACACGGACAGTTACTGATAAATAATTCCCGCAGTACGCGGCAGTAGTGAAGCACTTATAAATACTGTACTAACTTTTTATATGTACATGGAAAATCAACCGTGTTTTGTTGAGGAAAATTATCTTATTGACTATCTCTGAGGAAAGAAGGTTTCTCAATTTTGTGATGAGAATTCCATCACTCTTTTATTGCATTTATTTAATTGTGATAATATTCGAATGTCGTTTCATTATTCGATCGTCGGTCCATTCAACTGATAGTCGAATAGTCGACTATTCGTTGACATCCCTACTTAAAATATATTACAATGTAGGAAGAGGAAAATACATTTTTAGGACATTTTATTTCATGGGACACTGGTAGCAATTGAGGTCAACCAGAAACATTCTACTCATCAATTTTTGTCTATATTTATTCAAATGTAATCACTGATAATTCTAACATTTTTGTTGCACTCCTGACCAAGAGCACGTGAGACTTAAAGTAGAATTGTGAAGCATAAATTGCATCAGATCATGGTTCCATTATTTCAGTTTAGACTTGGTGCAGTTATCTGAATTTTATCACAATTTCTCAGTGTTGTTTATAAAATTTCTTTAAAAATTAAAAGAAAAGATAAAAACACATCTGCATTGATAAAAATGAAAATGGGACAGATTTCTATCATAAAACTAATTAATTTAGTACTAAATTATTAAAATGGATGCCAATTGATCAAATTATATTTAGTGGTATGAAAAGGAGTCTGTTCATCATTGAACTTAAATCTTTATAAAAATGCGTTGCACTCCTGACCGTGAAAATATGAATCTGAAACACAGACATATCCTGTAAATGATTGATTTATTTGATAAGAATGTTCCTTTTGTCTTTATTTTCCAAAAAAACCAAAGCAATACATTATACACTGATTAAAGTTTTTCCAAGTTGGACAGCAAAACATCAGATGTTGCACTCCTAACATAAATGGGCATCCACATATATTTGACTCTCATTAATGCTGCTTGTGATTCATATAACATTTTAAGCCTTTAAATGGTCTATCGATTATTATTTTCAAAATTTCTTTTTTGACTTAACTGTCTTGCAGATTTTTAAATTCAGTATGTTTTGGCATCGTTACATTTTATCTGGTGCACTCCTGACATGGTATAACAATTTTTTCAGCATCAGTCGTGATCATAACTTGGTCAAGCAAAAGTTAATACAGTCTAAATTTAAAGCTCAATATATTAAATTTTATCAGGAAACTTTTTATTTCCAAGATAAACCATTATTATAAACCTTTATTTATTTAGCAAAATCTTCAAAAAATATGGAATTTTTAAGATGTCACAAGAAGGTATTGCACTCCTGACATTTTTAGCACATTTTTTGGGCATAATTTTTTGTTTCTTAAGATATTAATGAGATATTTTGCAGGTATTTACTGTATACATGGTTATTTTCGCCCCGTGTTATTTTCGCTCTTTCACACTTGTAAACAATTTTGCCCCGTTTTAGATTCGCCCAGTTACACTTCTGTATAAGAAATTATACTGTGTTCTTTGAATTTGCCCCGTTTTAAATTCGCCCACCTGTGATAAAACGGGGACGAAATTTTCCCTGTATATAGTAGTCTGTAACAAAGGACACATGCTGATCTATAGAAATTTATTCATCTAACCTGAATTTTTTGTGCAGGTTGATAATTATGTGTCTAGTCATTTTTTTAATTCACCCATGTGTATACACCATACTAAAGGGCAAAAAGTAACTGTGCAAATATTCAACTAATGAACTTCCAACAAATACAGTCAAGATTATTATGTATCTTTGATAATGCCTGTATATTTGAAACCTATGTCTACCACTTAGAATGCATGTCTATAACATTTTGATTTGAGAACAGTAGAGAACAGAGGTGCCTTTGACTTAAGAAGATTTACAAAGTCTATGACGGATGTGATCGATGTATTACTAGAGGAAAAGGATGAAGATAATGAACAGTGATTAATTTCATAAATCTGTATACCAATCCTGAACAGGGCAAAAAACACAGATCCACCGGAAACACAAGAAATGGAATCATGTGCCTAGAAGGAGTAAGCATCCCCTATAGATCGGTCACACTTCCAGTGAGCCCTCTGTATTGATAAGGTTCTCCATAGTCAAAATAAGCCTTAAAACAATGGCCTAACATTTGGTATGGAACATGTCAGTCCAAATACGACTCACGGATAGATTATATTTGCTAACAAGGTTATTATTTTGACCATAGAATTTGCGATATGTCGACTTTCATCGAGATTTAGAAAGCCCTATAATTTATTTTTCATTAGCTTGCCTCGATTTAAAAAATAGAACTTGCTCTTGCTTAAGAATACAAAAAATGTAATACATATAAATGGGTTGGCTAATAAAGGGATTTTAATGCAAATCGATATTCTAACAGATTGTTGGAAGACTGGTCTCTAAAAGTTAGCATATATCAAGGCATTGATGTCTAAGGAGTTCATACAAGAAAACACGTGCAATATGTGGTCTTCCGTCGTCTTGATGAAATGTGGTTTGTTGTCAATCAATGACGACTTTCGATGAGGATAAAGGGATGTTGTTGAACAATTTCGTTCCTGTACCAGATTCAACCTAGATTTCCATTATCATCAAATATGATTTGTGTGTACAGTAAAGCCTTTCAGAACTTAAATCAAAAGACTGACGTGGTAAAAGCAGACTTTTTTTTTAAGTTTTCTCCAACTCTACAGTACAGACTTTAAACGGTTGCCTCTGCTCTTAGATAGAAATGCTATTCATTGATGAATTTTGGTTTAATCTTGCATTGGAAAAAGCAAAGGATGCCTACCCTGCGCCTTGCCCGCCTTGATCACACTCTCTGCATCAGCACGGGCGAGTCGCTGGGCACTGCGGGCTGAAGTCCCCGTAATCTGTACCTAACGGTTCTGGAATTTTTTACTTTCAGTCCAAGGATTTTTGAATGCACTTTTACGTCTCTTGCAAAATTAATTCACTCATATAAGATGTCACCAGATACCGATGAAGGGCCTAAATTTGAATCTTTACTAGACACTCATGGTCAATGACCAGTGAGAGTTCTTTAGTGTGCACACGACTGTCGTAACACGGGTCCTTGGTTTTTAAGGTCTCATCCGAATGACCCGCAACTTTAAAGTGCCGAGCACTAGACCAAGGAACAGTTCCTACCTATTTTATTTTAATTAAGATTCGTCGCGGCCATGACTTGAACCCACGACTCTTGAGAGCTCTAAATGACCTTCCGTTACATAGGTAATAATAGGTATCCTGGAATGTGATACTGTTCAACTTGAAGACTGACATTCAATATGGTGTGAAGTCATTAGGACCGCATCTCCAGAGAGATTGTATAGTATTCCAATGCACTCCAAGACCGAGCATCTTCATTCAGACGAGAAAACTTATTTAGTGAATAATTAATCAAGTATTCCTCATGCAATTTCATCGAGTAGCATTCAAAATTTATACACCACTGAAAAAAATATGTTGTTTCCAAAAATTTGAATTCATCGTTTCAAATTGACATCTATCTTTAAAATGTGTTGCACAATTCATTTTTTCCTATGAGTTTTGGTGCTTTCTTATTAATTTGAGAAGTTTAATATATTACAAGAGAATTCAGGGAAAAAGTTATGTTATTTAATGATGAAAGAAAAACAATCTACACATTGAAATGTTGTCACTAAATGGCTTTTGTTCAGACAAAACAAGATGTGTTTGTGAAACACTATGCACCCGGCGGCAACAAAGTTCGAAAAAGCTATTTTTAGCATATAGATCACAGTCTAGGTCACAAGGTCATTAACCTTGGTGTCATTTGAAAGAACTTAATTAGTTGAGTTTGCATACCAAATATGAAGTCTCTATCTCTCATGGTTCAAAAGTTGTGGTGAAGGTTAAAGTTGACAACAGACACACAAACAGACAGACAGACAGGACAAAAACAATATGCGCCCCCGATCTATCGATCCGGGCGCATAAAAATGCTTGCAAAAACATTTTCACTTTTTATAATTTCAGAAAATGTTAACAGGTAGAAAACTTTCAATGATTTTAATTTCAATTTTTAACTCTCTTTTTTTTTCTAAACAGGAAATTCTTCTTTCTGTGAATGTGGAACGGTAGAAGAGGAGTTTTGGAATATGAATTAGTCTTCGAATAATTAGATGGTAATCGGAAATAAATGTGATAATTTACATTTATATAATTCTTTTCACTTGGGAATTCAAAACATTATCTTCCGGCACGAGAGCAACATAAAAATATACTTCTGGAACATCGTGACCAAAGGTCGCGGCCTTTTAGTATATATGGAAATTCCAGTATAAAATGTAAACAAAAGTTAATATAAAATTTCCTTGATAAACAAAAACAGGTCCTCGGCTTAGTCATATATGAATGATATTTGTCGACGACAGCTGCTATTTTGCTCATTGACTATCGCAAATTTTACCTATGACTGCTCACTACATGCGGACATACATGTGTATATCCATTTTTGACGAAGTTGATTAGAGTCCAATTTTCCCCTAGTGGTTATAAAACCTAAACTGCATCAAGATAGATGTGTTAATTAAGAACCATTTTCATATTTTCTTTTGTGAATCAAAAATTATTTAAAATTTTATGACTTTACATTAGCTAAGGTAAAATAACAATTATCACTAATTTAAAAGCAAAACAAAACAAAACTTTTTTTTAAATGTCTGTTTGTGTTTTATTATTATTTTTGTCCATTTTTATTGTAAACCATAATTATTATGAATTACGTAATGTAGATATGGTATCTGTTATCAATTCTAAGGGGAAAATAAACAACTTGTAATATGCATTTTGTACAACTTCAAGCTTAAAATTCTTAAACTCTAAATGGCTCATATAAAAGTTACGCGGTAGGACTAGTATTGAAATGTCAAATGCGCAAAAAAAAAAGAAGTCAAAGACAACTTAAACAGTTTGAATTAAACAACAGTAATACATGTATACATAAATTACTATAATTTTCAATCCTTTTTAATTCATTGTCATAAATGCATATACTGAACAAGTTGTGTTTTAACACCTATCATGTTTTCTCGTTTAAATTAAATCCATATTAGTTAAAAATACAGAAGCCATTATCATTTAACCGCTACTAGAACGGATCAACTTTTTAGTTGAATTAAGCTGTTTTGTGTTTTCTTTAAGAATCAATACTCGAAAACCATCGAAAGATTGCAGGGAGACTCGGGTACTCCTTATGCGCGTAAACTTTTCTTTGCAATGGCAACTTTCTTTTTGTTTTTCAGGAATGTATTTCTAGAATTTACACTAATCTAGCAATCAAAACTTTACCTTACTTCACTCAGTTTTAATAAATATCTTGATTAGGAGGTTGTTTTTTTCCCTAACAAAAAAACTATAGTTAACTATAGTTTACTATAGTATCAACGTTTTTACTGTAGTAAATCAAAGATTTTACTATAGTAAATCAAAGGCTTAACTATAGTAAATCAAAGTTTTTACTATGGATTTCAGATTGTTTATGTTATGTTCTCTTATTTTACATGCATATTTTTATATTAAGTAAAAAAAAAAATTACTTGCATATTAAAATACTATTTTCATATTTTACATCATTGGTATTGAATTTAAGAGATATGACGCTTCAAAATCTTTTAAAAAGTTCTACAATAAAGTTTCATAGTAAATCAACGTTTCAAAGTATTTACTATAATTAACTATAGTAAACTATAGTTAACTGTAGTATTTTTTTGTTATGGTCTGTATATGAAAATAAAAAAAGTTAGGAATGCATTTTATAAGTGACTAGTAATCAATGACTCGTATTTACACCTTTTAAGTAAATTATTTTGTGCGCTACAATTACTTGGGAAAAAATATGAAGTTCTAATGTCTGTAAATCTTAGCACACATGCTCATTTCCTCTGGTGAATGGGGTAACCTTGTTTTCACGTCTGAAATTAAAAATAGGTATATAATAGAAAACTTCAATAAAAATACCTTCTAACCAACAAAATGCCTAGTGTATTTATTTTAAAGTAAATAGTATCTTTCCTTTATTTTAAAAAATACTGTAGTCTCGCAACCTAGTTCGTGAATATGATTGCCACCTTTAATATCAAATTTATGAATGTTTTACTCTGGGAGATTTTTAAAATATCTAATTGATTTGAGATACATATAATTTAATGTGTCAAGCTTTAAAATTATTCATCATTACTTTTTTTTATTTTTAACAGGTTATCAGGAAATTACTTTTGTAAGATATGATGAATCCCCTGCCAGATTTTGACCTGTCTCTGACTGTGAACAAAATAGTCAATTGTCCACCATAGAGCCAAACGCCTTTTTCTGCAGAAGACTGTCTTAAGGTGCACGTGACGTTGCCCCGCACATGCGTGATGCTAAATTTATCATGTGAGAAATCTACATCAAGGTCATGAATACGGAGGTACAGGCTCCCTTCTCGATGAATCTGATTCATATATCAAAATACATTTATAAAAGCAACAAATTGTATATTCATGATACATTTTTAGCCATATGTGTTCTAATTTCTATAAACTGCCGAGATACTTGTGATTGTCAATCAATAAACTTCAAATTTGTTAAGCATGATTGTCAATTCCAAATTCGCATGACAAATTGTTATGCTTAGACTCAAAAGAAGCCAATTTAGTTTTTAATTATTCTTATCTGATTAAAACGTCAACAGATGAGTATTCCTCCCTAGACTGCATCTTTAGGACTGTTAATTCAAGAATAAACTAGAAGAAAAAAAACTCTGTAACAGTAGTTCTCTGTAAGCACATACCTTGATGAGCGTTTTACAGGTCTGTTGTTTGGGTCTATAATTCCAGGGATAATCGTCATGACTTCTAAGAATACCATTTCTGCCATTTACTTCACGTTTGCCACAAATATCATGGATTTTCTCTAAAAGTTGTGAAGTAATTAGTAACTTCTTTCAAAATTTTATGTTAATTTGAAATGGAAAAATAAACAGTTTTTGGATTGCATTACATCATGCAACTAGTGCTTCTAAGTAGCATTTAGCTTGTTTCATTTATTGTTACATCCATTATGTTTTATATTCTCATAATCAACCTGTATATTGTATTAGAAATTCATAATTTTTAAATACTAACAGTGTCTAGTTGAACGTTGGATAACCTTGGTATTCCAGAAAATCAAGTACATGTAACATGAAAAGGTATGAGTTATCTTTCTAAACGAAATATGAAGAAAACGAAAAGTAATCAAGCTCAAAGTTCCAGTGGAACAATACAATTTTGGAGCAGAGCAAACACGGATCTCTAAAAATATAGAGGTGGGATCAGGTACCATGGAGGAGTAAGCATCCCCTGTCGACCGGTCACAACCGCCCTGTGCTCTTGCCATGATCGGACAAACGGACATAACCGTTGACTATTCAGTATGAAAATAATGGCATAACAATTAGTATGAAAAACGTCAGTCAACACTCAAGTAAATGATAGACTGCATTTGCAAATATGTAACATGCATGCTGGTCATTGTATAGACCATCGAATTTGCGAAATGTTGACTTAAAACGGGGTTTTTGATATCCTTGTATCATCAATTTATTTTTTAGTAGCTTGTCTCGTTTTAGAAATCGTTCGTAAGTAGAGCATGCTCTTGCGTATCGAATCAACTGGGAGGCATAAACTCCATATGCAAGTGATAATGGTGTATTGCTACATAAATAAGGGTAATTGATAATAGAAAAGTTGAAGTCATTACGCTTAACATAAAGATTGTTGGAAGATTGATCTCCAAAAACTACATAGATATTGTCAATTAGAAACTCAAGCATCTTATTATCATCAACCCCGGAGTACTTGTGTGTACAATCGGAATGTTTTAACAAAATAATTTTGCAAATGAACAATGACAAGGTATGCAAATTTACGATTTCCATTTTGATTGAAAAAGCAACTGTGTTGCTGTCTATGTTGTTAAAAAGCCTGTAGCCCTTTTCACAAAAAAAAAATCTTACAATTAATTTTCATCGTAAGAGATATTTTACGATTTTATTCCTTTTCTCAAAAATTCTTACGAGATTCTTAAGTGTAAAAATTTGTCGTAACTTTACGAGAGCTCTAACCCTCTCGTTATATCTTAGGGCCAATTTTAATTTAAAAATATACTAGTAACAGATAAAACCCATATAAACGTTTAAAGAGCTGTCTTACGCATCCTTTAATAGCATTTTATATTATTTCACAATTATTGCCGAAAAATTAAATGAAATACACTGCAAAATATTTACGATAGCAGTTTCTCTTAAAATTTTCATATGACCAACTTCTACGTCAGACTTTCGATTGTGAAGTCAGATTTCAAACTTCCTTGCTTCACAATCCATTGCACTCGATTTTTGTTAAGCATTATGTTTGGTTCACTTACAAGTTGGGAAAACTTTGCTTCATTTTTATTCTCATCCACTTTTTTTAAGGATCATAAAGCACATTGAGATCCTTGTTAGGGGAGAAGTCTGTCGTAAGTAAAATCTTAAGTTCAATCTGCTACGAATGCGTTCGTGAAAAGCACCTTAGATTTATCGTAAGAGATTTTTTCACTTAAAATCTTACGCAAAAACTTTTTTTTGAAAAGGGCTACTGGACTTTAATTTATCGTGGGGAAAGGTATATAAAGTGTTGAAAAGTTGAATCTGTTTACCTACTTTTCGGAATACACTCGTGTCCCTTTGTAATAAAAAGTGGTGCTTGTTTTCCTGTACATCCTACGCCATTGGAAATAGCAAATATTTGGGGTGCATCCCAGCTGACAGTGCAGGACCTCTTCCAGAAACAGTTATTCTTTTGCACCAACAGTTGTGGGGAGATTCCTTTGCATAATCGAGTCGACCTTTTTGACAGTCGAAGGTTAGACATATGGATGTCAAGAGAATAAATAAGAGAATTCTTTGGACAAGAAAAACGGTAGATTTTTTTCTGCCATCCAACACGATCTCGGACTATTCCTGTAGCCAGAAAAAGATATGTATTACTGACCGTAAAAGGATATCTTCTAACGCCACTTCAAATAATCCTTGAAAAAACTGAGTGACCATCAATGAATGACTATTTTATCATTCATTCACTGAAATCGACTATTTTAAAATTTTGTGTTCATTGTGTTCAGTTTTGTTAAAAAGTTAACAAGAGGCCTTAACGGGTCACCTGAGTATAATACAACCCTGTAAAGGATTCATAGAATGGTAAATAATTGTATAATAACAGAAAATAAACTAAAACTCAAAAACAAGAAAAATAATTTTGATCACAGATCAACAAAATAATTAGTCTGGTAATCAGCAACACCTATGAAAAATGCCTGTATATGCCAGTGCTATCTACAATCCGTCGTTATCACCAAACATAACAAGACAGTACAGTAATTGCTTTAGCATGAGAGCAAGAGAGCACCCAGCCTAATTCTCTTACTATAATGGCCTCTTATGATCTTTGAATAATTAATGTACATATACATGTATAGGTATTTTGTCTCATTTTCAATCATCTATTATTTACAACTCTACCTGACTAATAAAAACTTTAGTTCTTTTTATACTTTATATTTAAAAAAAAATCTTTCTAATTCTTTTTTTTCAATTTACCTATCACTTAAATCATTTACACTAATCAATTATCATAAGTGGATAACAAATAGGAATAACTTCTCTTAAAGCAGTGAAAATATTCCCATACATGATCATAATAGAGCCCCACCCTAGCTCCGGAAACACTGTCTCAGGGGTCATGAATTTCCTTATTTTGGAAGAAGCATTTTACCTCATCAAAACAATGCACTTAGTTTCTCTTCTGAATACTAAAGAGCAAAAAGGAAGGTTTTTGAAGAATTAATGCATTTTCACTATATGATAAAAAGTCCCGTCCTAAATCCAAAATCCCTGTGGGAGGGGCCATGAATTTCACAATTTTGGAATAGATACCCTTGCTTAACATAATCATGCAATGAGTTTGTCTGCTAAATGCCCAAAACACAGATTTTCAAAGAATTAATGCATTCTCACCATATGATCAATAGAGCCCCGCCCCAACTCCAGAACCCCTGTCATAGGGAACATTCATTTCACAATTATGGAAAAGGCATTTTTGCTTATCATAATGCACTTAGTATGTCTACTAAATACCCGGTAGCAGAGAAGAATATTTTCAAAGAGTTAATGCGCTTAAAAAAATGATCAATAGAGGCCCTGACCAAGGGGCCACGAATTTCAAAAAAATTGGAACTAGCACTCTTGCTCTTCATAACCATGCACTTGGTTTGTATTGGAATACTCGGGGGCAGACGAGAAGATCTCCGAATAATTATTGTATGTTCACTATATGACCAATAGAGTCCCGCCTTAACACCAGAACCCCTGACCCAGGGGCTCCTTATTTCACGATTTCTGAAGAGGCACTCTTGTTCATCATATATATGCATTTAGTTTGTCTGCCAAGTATACAGCTGCAGGAGGGAAGAGAAGCTTTTTAAAGAATTTTAATGCATTTTCACTATATTATGTATATAGCGCCGACCTAAAACCGAAACCCCTGACCCTGAGGCCATGAATTTCACAATTTTATTAGAGGGCTCAATACTTATTCCAATAATAACAACTCTTTGACTGCTTAATGTCCAGGAGGGAAGTTATTTTATGATTGCATTATTTTTATGGTTTTTGGATCACCCCTCAGATCCCAGGGGGCAGGGACCATAAAATTCACAATTTCCTCCCTTCTCCCATAGATGCACAATGTCAAAATTGGTTGAAACTGGTTTAGCAGTTCTATAGAAGAAGCTGAAAATGTTCGAATGTTAACTGACGTCGAACGATGCACGACGACGGACGAAAATAGATAGCAATAGGTCACCTAAGTTGATCTAAAAGTGGCTAAATTTTGTTTGAATATTTAAATATATAATTAAATTCAAGTCAGTTAGGAACAAACATCATAACAAAGTGTGTATCAAATTGAGATTTTAAAAACTTTCAAACTTTGGGATAGAATTTCATAATTTGGGGAGATACTAGTAGATATCTTAAATACAACATTATTTTAACCACCCCCTCCCCCCCCCCCTTCCCCTCTAAGAATCAACAGTGTGTTGTTTTAATCAAATTGCTGATGATAAAAAAAGTTAATCGTTGTATGGATCCAAACAGGTATTTTCTCATTTGAACTTTGGATGTTGTGGTAGCGAAGATTTTACACTTTAAGAATGAGGGGTCATCAGTTCAAAATTTAACCGAAATATGAATCCATCTGCATGGGTGGTTTTATAAAATGCATTCATGTATATTCCAGCTTAACAATGCTTTGAGTATAGGTTGCACCGGATACCATTCATATTTTCTTCCTTCTTTTATATTTGCATTTACTGAAGACCTACATTTATTATGAAAGCAAACACTTTTAGCGTAGTACAGATAACCAGCACACTAAATATGTAATTTCCCCCTCATACCTTGGATAAGTAATAAATACCTACTTATTCAAGAGAAGAACAATTCTTAAGGAAGAAAAAAAAAAGAAAAACAAAATTATATAGGCCTTCGTCTGACTAGGATTATTTTATGGTATGTTAAAATGTCCTTTTTTCTACTTTTTTTTCTGGATGGGAGTAAAAACTTACAATATCAAAAAGTGTTCCAGGGTTTATTTTACCACCATATAGTGGAGCCAAAAAAATGGCGGATTCAGGAATCTTGAAAGGGGGCGATCAGTTTAGGTTCGGGGTAGGGGCTCACGGCCACACCAAAAATTGATTTATTAAATCTTATGTATATTTCGGACACAAAAGGGGGGCAGGGCCCCTGTCCCCCTCTAAATCCTCCAGTGCCAAAATCAACGTTTTTACAAACATATACTTACCCCTTTCCTGGGTCACTACACCCTCAACATGCGATTTTCTGTTTTTTGCGTCTGTAATATAAGAATAACGTTGCTCAAGCTATCAGATTTAAAGTACAATTCGATGGATTACATACTGAGTATTAGAAGAGATATTATTGTTACTTCGACGATTTCTGAATGTGGCCCTATGTCTTCTGAATTTTCTACATTTTCCCTTCACTTGAACTGTTTTAAGGCGACCAAAATTAGTTATCCAGACAGCACCATTGTCTGATCGGCAGATAGCCATTACAGAATCTGTAACAAAATTAAAGCACACATATTGTTTCATTAGATAAAAATTATTGTTACAGAGAGTGTTCATGTCATAAAACAACAAAAATGAAATGAGTGAAATATGTAAACTAAAATGTATTGCTCTTAAAAAAAAAATCTTGTTATGCATTTTAAGTATAAGTACATGTAGGCGTACATATTCCATTACTTTGGTTCACTCAGTCAATAAATATTATGGAACTTCGCTTATATAGTGGATATTTTCATGATTCTTTGATTAACAGAAGTTAACCACAATTTATAATGGTTTACATGTACATCTATATTTAATAGTAGATTGAAAATTTGGCAAGGTTATTAATGCATACGCCATCTCAACACGTATCCATTTTTGTGGAATAATTGACCGGTATCATGACATGTCAGCATCTGTAACGAATGATTTTTCATATTTCATCATTTTCTTTATTATTTTTCTTGCTTTAATTACTTATTTAACGCCATTGTTAAGAGTAATATTTGTTAATTATAGAAAATACAAAAACAGTTTTCTCATTTTTGTAACATTGGTGTGCCATATGATTGCAGATCTCACAAAAACAAATGAATATTAGTGTTACATATAGTTGGTCAGCTAAGTTTGCCAAACATAAACTGTAATAAAACTTCAGTAAATTTATCCTTTGTGGATACTCGTTAATGAAAATTTTACTGAACAATATGAATTAACTTTCATAATTTCATATATATGTATTTTAAAGTTTTGATTTTAAGCTCACCAATTGTGAAACTGTCTTTATCCGATACTGATCAGCAAAAAGTTTAAATTTATATTCAGAAATTTTAGCTAAAAGCTATTAATCAATATTTAAGGTCCAATACAAGAAATAACAACAGATATGAACTGTAATCACTTGTACCAATCCTCTCTCACAAATTAATCAGTACAATATACATGTAATTTATAGTCTACATTCGAAAAATATAGTATAAAATTGTTAAATGTCGTTATAAAGAAGAAGGTACCGTTTCAATACAAATTTTGCCCTGTATTTCTTTTAAAAGTGAAATTGTTGTGAGAAATTGAAACTCACGCTTTCTGAATTGTTCAAACTCAATGCAGTAAGACCATACAAATCGGGTTTGTTTGTTTTTTTTGACATGTCCTGCTAGATGCTAATTGTGACGTCTGGAACTTGTGCATTGCCCCGTATTTTTTAAAAGATTAAAGAAGATATCAATATTCAATGGAATTTTCTTTCATACAATTAGACCATAAATCTTCATATAAGATATCCGAAAATTGGTGGGCGACGGCTGCGGACACTATTTTCTTAAGGAAAGTAGCCCTTGGATGAGTCATATTGAGGATTTTTTTCCTGTTTAAAACTTAGAAACGTAATAAATTAACGACGTCATATTTCCAGAACGGTCCTCCTACCTCCTACCAAATTCATTGTGGTTCAGCACTTATATATATTCAATTTATATTTAAGTAAATTTTCAAAACTCTTTGAAAACATCAAATTTTTAGGGCATGATAAAGCTAACACTGCACCTTGTTCTTTGAAAACCTGTAATTTATATTTTTACTTAAACTTACAGATATGGTAGGTAGATTGAAAAAAAAAAGAGTTAAACTCAGTTTGACTCTTGAAAAGCAACAACTTATTATCAATTCATACACAATATAATTACTAGGGTTCTTGTAACTTCGAATAATGAATACGTCCATTGATTGTTTGAATTGTAAACAGGTTTAAAGATATGACAATTATTTTCAAAGTAAAACTTACAATTCCGTTACAAAATCAAGTTTGTGATAGACTACATTCTTCATACAAGTATGTAACTTCGCTCGTTAATCTACATTGTAATAGAATCGTAAACTTTTATCAACATCCGTAATCTTGTATACTGATCTTGAATATAGATTTAATTTACTAGGTTTTGCACTTGCAGATCCTAGTGTTTTATGTCATTTATTGTTTACTTAAGAAATAAAGTTCGCGTTTTCGTGAATGTTGCAGGATAATTATCTATGAGGTCGACAAATGGTGTTTTGAATTATAAAAGCCGAGGCGTCAGCCGATGCTTTTATATTTAAAACAACATTTCGAGACCGAGAAGGTTATCCTGCATCATTCAGGACAAGAACTTTATTTCTTTTCTAGTAACAGCTCTAAATTACGGCCGATTGTTTTCTCTGTAGAGAAAGAATTAGGTCACTTTGTCGCGAATAGACTGTTCGATTAAAACCAGAAAGTCAACTTGGTTGTGTACTTGTGTATCGATTGCAATGGAATGCATAATGTATGTTACGTTTTGAATCTATAAGTTTACAAATACAAGAAATAGACAGAGAGAAAAAGTGTTTTCATCAATTCAATGTATACATTCATTAGATTCACTTTAAATAATGATCAACGAAGATATTAACCCTTGGAAGAAATCTCAACCATTAACGAAAATTAGCAAAATTTTTAATTTGCGCCATTTTTTTTTTTTATCATATTGAATTTCACAACCTCAAAAGCCCATTTTACATGTTCTAAACGATCCCTAAAAAATACTATAGTAAACTGTAGTTAACTATAGTAACTATAGTTAACTATTGTATCAGAGCAAAAACTTTACTATATATTGAAAACTTTGGAACTTCGATTGTTTACTATAGTGAAAACTCTGGAACTTTGATTTATTAAAGTAAAAACTTTGAAACTTCCATTTACTAAAGTAAAAAAATTGAAACTTTCATTTACTACAGTAAAAAATTGGAAACTTTGAGTTAATATTGTGAAAATTTTGAATAACTACACCCTCGAAGAATTATGTTTTGGATTCCCATTCTTAACAATTTATAATATTTCATGGTCAAAAGTAATAGAAGATTCAAACAACTTTTTTTATAAACCCGACACCTCCCCTAAAAAGAATCAAAGTTCAAGAAATGAATTTTAATGTGAGGTTGTCTCTCTCGCCGAAAGACCGATAGATAAGCAACATTTACACTATTCAAATGTACTTAAATTTAATTTTGATGTAGTGTAAGCTTTTTTATGAAGAAAGACAAATATTATACTATAAATGAAATCTGAGTCATTTAGAACCAAAATACCTGCTCCCTCAACTTCAGTGAACATGTATTTTCTTTAATTTATAAATGTAAATATTGCAGTGAATTAACTAATTTGTAAATTTAAATTAAGATATACAACAACCCCCACCCTACCCCCCCCAAAAACGGCAAAATAAGCAATAAATTATTAAAATAGTTTAAAACTTGATATACTATAGTAAAAACTTTGAAATTTGATTTACTATAAAAAAAAATTTGATACTTGATTTATTATAGTGAAAAGGACAAAGTATGGTAACCGCCGAATCTGGCCCCTTATTTGATGTAAAAATCAGAACACAGATAAAATTGTGATAGTTTGTAGTTAAGAACTTAAAATGATGCTTTTTTTAAAACCAGCACTAATTTTGATTCAAAGCTTACATGGAGGCCACAGGAGGGTACAAAAGTAGGACGTTTTCCCAAATTTCCTCAATTCTGGTGAAATTTCGTCGAATTGAGATACTTTTCCCTTCGGGAAACATAGAGCACAAGCTTGCCTATCTGAGATTTTTATACATAAGATGCATCTGTAACTGTTGTATGAAATATATAAATTTAGTAGATAGGCAAGCTTGTGCTCTAAGTTTTCTGAAACAAAATGTGATGTATAATCGATGAAAATTTGCATAAAAATGAGGAATTTCGGAAATTGACATATTTTCTGACATTCCTGTGACCTCTGTGTAACCCATAACTTAGAACCTTTTGTGGCAGGAGTGACAACAGATTTTTATTGAGAAACTGTTGCATCGTTCTAAAAGACACCCAAAACCGGGCGCCAAAAAGGGGCCTTAGCCTACATGTGTCTTGTCCTTTGAAACTTTGATTTACTATAGTCAAAACTTTGATACTTTGATTTACTATATTGAAAACTTTGAAACTTGGATTTACTATAGTTAAATCTTTGAACTTTGATTTACTATAGTGAAAACTTTGAAACTTGGATTTACTATAGTAAAAACTTTGAAACTTTGATTTACTATTGCAAAAACTTTGAAACTTTGATTTACTATAGTTAACTAGTACTACAGTAAAATATAATTAACTATAGTTTACTATAGTATTTTTTGCTAGGGATCACTTTTTCTCTCAACAAGAAAAGAATTGTCACACATTTCTGCTGGGACACTTCTCATTGTAAGATTAATATTCAATACTTTCTTTTCTAGTACATTCAGCATCTGTTGTTAATCATTGTGAGCCTTGTCCTTTAAAAATACCACAGAAAAAAATCCAAAGGCTTGAGATCTGGTGAATAAAGAGGGCAAACTCTTTCCTTAAGGCGTTGTATTAAATTTGTCTGATGATGACTTCATGTCACATTGCAAGTTTCTATACACAGTGGAAATGCTGGTATTTTCAGTACCAGTTTCTGAATTTGTCTACTAGAGTCGCCACATCGCTTACAAAATCTTCGGTTCTTGAAATCCTTGGACTTTGTGTTTTGTCCGTCTCTTTTACTGCATATTGGCTCTGTCCTTTGAAACTTTGTGACTAGCCTTCTGATGAACATCCAAGTATGCTCCTTTTCCTTTGAAGTATTTTCTTTCATCAACCTCTAATTGAATTTTTTGGCGATTTATATTGCTAATTGCGTTCTACAATTTAGCCTTCCATGATCAGTTATATCCTTTTCAAAAAGATCGAGATCGTGAGATCAGCTTTTATATCACAATTACCATTATGTATTACCTTAACTTTTTCGCATGGAATAAAAATGACGGATTTGGCGTTGAAATGATATATGGTTTGAATCAAAAATATGATAGCTAAGAAAGATATTTAAATTTAAAATGTTACATTCCGGTATATCATGAAACTCCCTGCTGTATATATAGCTATTTCTTCATTATTTGATGGTACTTAGAAATAATATGCTGATATTTCTCCATAAAATTTATATGATACTTTGATATGACGTGCTGGTACATCTTCTTTATGTGACTACTCTGACATTCATTGTGTGTATACTTTGACATTATATGACAAGAAAGTATATATATAGGGTGTAGATTCTTCATTTAAGAACTGAATTTTATTTTAGAGAATTCATGAGGACATGAACTACTACGCTTCATGACAAATACCTGTTAGCGCCTCGTGATAAATATGCTGGCGTAAATCATAATTAAATCTGTAAACTATAATTGATATTCGTAAACTATAGTTTATACTTGCATGTGAACCATATTTTTCTAATCATAAAATTGCCTTTATCAGGTAAACATGTTTTGCACCTGCAAATTACTTTTCACTGCTGGGTATACATGTATTTTACAATTGTCAAATATAGATTTAGATGTAAATTATGGTTTAGAAATGATAAACAAGAGACCAAGGGCATTAGAGGTCACCTCAGTACAATGCAACCATGAATTTAACAATTTCGGTAGAAGGCTCAATGCTTATTACATCAAACCAACATTTTAACTGCTTAATGTAAAGGGGTACTGAAGAAGAATTTTAAATATTGCATTAATTTTCATGGTTTTAGCCCCATTCCTCAGGCCCAAGGGGGGGGGGGGGCATGAAATCAACAATTTTAAATACCATTTGCAAACATTGGTTAAAATTGGTTCAATGGTTCCAGAGAAGAAGCTGAAAATATTCAAATGTTAACGCATGATGAACGACACACGACGACAGACAAAAAACAGATAGCATTAGGTCACCTGAGTGACTCAGGTGACCTAGAAATATAGATTAACGTTGATCGTTATCTATAGTTTACACTTCGTGCGTTAATTTTACAATTGACTAACCTAGTTTTTCAACTGTCAAAACTAACTTATGCACTTAAGTTTGAATTTAAAAAAAAAAAATGAAATTTGAATATATCAATGTGATAAATCAGAAAGTATATGGCTAAAAAGGAGAATCGTTCTGTAAATATGACGTCATTAATTTGTTACATTTCTAAGTTTAAAAATGGAAAAGTCTAAAAATGACTTATTTCAGTGGTTATTTTCCTAAAGCAAATACAGTCCACAACCGTCGCCCACTCCAGTTCCCGAACATATTGTTTAAAAATCTTTGAAAAATCACATTTTAAAAAAAATTGGGGCAATACATTTCGTCTATATTGTCAAAGAAATTTTTACTGAAAATTTACGTCTTCTGCAACTTTTTAAGAAAAAACTGGAAAATGCACATTGTCAAGTTCATGACATTACAATAACCATTTCAGAGATCAAATGAGGAGAACAATTTTTAATTTCTCACAATAATTTTATATTTCAGAAAAGTACAAGGTCAGATCTGTAAGGAAACCGTATCTTCTTCTTTAGATTTTTTTTTATGAATCTACATATATTGGGGAATATTGAACTCCTCAGTTAATATTAATTTTTTTCTGGTGAATATAAAACCATATTCACCACGAGAAGAGATCAAAATTGTATAATATTGACCTCACAAACAGCAATAATTGAGTAATGCTGTTGTAGTATAACGAATGAAGAACTCTCTGGAGATGGAAATAACGGAGATATTTACTACGTCTTACTTTTGAAAAAGTTCCGTATGACCTGATATTTAGGAAATAAGGAAGTAATACTATACTTCTTTTTAAACTGAATCTCTAAATGATAATGAACAACTACGCCGGGTGTACCGGAACTTATAAAATAAGGAAGGAGCACCACCCACCTTCTGGGATGCATTGAAGATTAGATAGCTGAATTGCGGAGGCTTTACAGTCGCCTGTTCTGATCTTGGTGTCTATCCTACATTTTCGCTTCCACCGGCACATTCTCTGGGCCTTCAAGCTTCTCCTCCAACATTTACTGCCCTTTGAGATGGTATTTGAGGTATTGGAATCAAGTCTGAACTTCACATTTGAGAACACATGACCGGAAGGGCATTTGAGTGTAATGAAGCTTCGTCTACCTGAGATGCTTCTTGAAATAAGAGCTCCATCTCCATTTCTTTTCGACCCTAGGTTGAAAAATATATAAAGTATTGTACAAGGGTAATTCAATGTTAAAAGAATATTCTGATGTCTTATGTATGATATCCGGATAGGGCCATGTACATAGCTCACTATCGCACCATCGAGCATCGACGATGAAGCCATGGTACGATAGCGGAATGAGCATAATGCGATAGCGCGACAATGCGCTGACGATGGTGCGATGGAATGGAGCGATAGTGAACATCGCTTTATCGTCATCGTACCATCGCCATCGTGCCATCGCTATCGCACCATCACGCTATCGCTTCATCGTGCCATTGCACCATCGTCATCGCATTGTCATGCCATCGCATCATTGTTATCGCGTCATCGCACTGTCAACCCAAACCTCGATGGTGCGATGATGCTAAGTAAACTACATGGCTATATCCGGATTCCATAGAGGTGGGATCAAGTGCCGTGAAGGATGAAGCATCCCCCGTTGACTGGTCACACCTGCCATGCAGCCTTTTTCTTGATCGAGTAAACTCAGCAGTGTGACTATAATGGCTTAACAATTTGTATTAAAAACTAGAGGAACTGTGAGCACTGCGCTCACACGATGATACCCCCGCCTCCCATATGTTTATAATGCCAAAGTCCATGTTTTGCTATGGGAGATCCGAAATAAGTGTCCGATCAGAGAGTAAAATAGGAGGTGCACAATGGCATAATGTAACAAAGATTCTTTGAAAGTATCATTAAATTTATTCAGTGGTATAGGGGGAGTTGCGGATAAGAGATGGGTACCCCCTAAATATTATGGAAAGAATGGTAGTGTTCTATATTGTGATATTGGAAACCCGAAATATGTATCCAATCAAAAAGTAAAATAGGAGTTACACAATGGCACTATGTAACAAAGATTCTGTGAAAGTATCATTAAGTTTTATTCAGTGGTATAGGAAGAGTTGCGGATAAGAGATGGATACCCCCAAAGCGTAACAGAGAAACGGACGGACGTACAGACGGACACCCCCATCACTATACACCCACCCACCCATCCGACCAACCCACCCACCCCCTCCGCTTTTCAAGCGGGGGGTATAATAACGTCAGTCAACATTCGACCTAACGATAGATTGTACATGTATTTGGTTAATCTGTCGACCTTAGAATTGATTGTTGATACCCTTATATCATCATCAACTTATATTTACTAGACTGCCTCGGTTTAGTTCGGAAGCCCATAGGAGATCAATAAAAATATTTTGAATTCGATATACCGAATTGTCAAATTCTTTTAAACAAATATTTATTTTGTTTAAAAAATTTCTGAATTTGTTTTAACGAATTTAATCTGATATAAAAAATTTTTGACTTAGTTTTAACAGATTCTAATTTTTATATTGAATTAAATTAAAATTTGCGCATTCCAGAATTCATAATTCCAAATTGTTCAAATTTGTTTTTCATGAATTTAATAAACTTGTTATAACATATTTCTATCCAATGGTGAGAATAAATTATTCATATTCGACATCACAAATTGTCCAATTCGTTCAAATTTAATTTTTCATATCGAATTGTCGAAATCGTTAACGTTCGAACAAATCTAGCAATTTTATGATGAATTTAATCGATAATAATACACTGCATTCTTCTAATTTGCTTTAACAAATTTAATGAATTTGCTTTAACAAATTCAATGAATTTGTTAACACAAATAACATTCATAAGGCATTTATAAAATTGAAATTTTTAATCGTTGTACCCTCCGCTTGATGGGGGTCTCCGTCCGTCCGTTATGCTTTGGGGTACCCAACTCTTATCCGCAACTCCTCATATACCACTGAATGAAATTTAATAAGACTTTCACAGAATCTTTATTACATAGCGCCATTGTGCACCTCCTATTTTACTTTTTGGTCACACATATTTCGGGTTTCCCATAGCAAAACATAGACACTGCCATTCTTTCTATAATATTGAGGTAGTCATCTCTTATCCGCAACTCCTCGTATACCACTAAATGAAATTTAATGAGACTTTCACAGATTCTTTATTACATAGTGCCGTTTTGCACCTTTTATTTTACTTTTTGATTTAATTGACACTCATTTCGGGTTTCCCATAGCAAAACATGGACTTTGCTATTATTATTATATGGGAGGTGGGGGTATCATTTTGTGAGCTCAATGCTCACAGTACCTCTAGTTTAATTTGTTTTCATGGTCTGCAATCTGAGACTGGATAGAAATTTGTTATAAGGTACTTTATGAATCCATAATAACGAATTTAATGATTAGAATTTATGAACTGTGAAATTCATTACATATTTTAGAATGAATTCTACAAAATTGTTATTACGAATTAAATTCGTTATAACGAATTCAAAACTTTTGTTCCAACGATTCAAATTCATTCAAACGAATTTGGAAATTCACTTTCATCGAATTCAAAAATATTTTTGAAAGGTCCTAAATGGGCTTTCATGGAACACTCGGGAGATAAAAACTCCACACGCAGGTGATAAAAATAAAGATTTATTACTACATAAGGGAAATTGAAGATAGAAAATTGAAGTCATTATGTTTATCATTAAGTTTAGTCGTTAGTTTGCCATCGATGTATTTCTGCAGCAAACCTTCCAAACATAAAACAGATATGTCAGACTTCGTGGTGACTTTAATTTATTTTTAGTTCATTGGGATACAACGAATCAATAAAATAAAAATTAAGATCGATGATAAAACGCCGTCGATATATCTAAAAGTCAAATTGAAGGCAAAGAGACCCCCTCCCCTCATGCAGAAGCCTTTGAGCAAATTCTGCTTCATAAGAATTCAAAAAACAGAAAAGCACTCCAACAGACCGCTGGAAGATCCGATCTTCAAAGATCACATATATAAATATTGTCAATGAGGGACCTCGCAATATATTTCATCCATTCAGGTTTTTACAAAATAATACATTTCTCTATACAACTGTTTTTTTAAATGTACTGTTTTTAAAAACATGAATGTTGAGACATGGAAACTCCGAATGAACTTATAAATCTTTGCAACTTCTACGAAACATTTCCAAAGCGCATACAAAATTTAAAAAAAAAAAGTACAATGTAGCTGCCTAAACACTCCCTATTAAGTCGTAACGAAATGCACCTGAAGCTACATACAGATTGTCGACATGGGTTGCTTTCTCCTCCTAGGCACCTGATCCCATATGAAGTATGCCCTGTTTATTTTTTAGAGGGTAATTAATTGATCAGTGGTCGTTATCTTCACCTTTTTTCTTTAACTTTACTAAAATTTCTCAAGTTCTTCATCCAAACTATAGACGAATATAAGAAACGCCCAAAATAAATCAACCTGCAACAAAATGAGAACTAGATGTATCATGGTACAAATGCCCTCGCTGACGTTCAAGTTTTAAATATTTGGAAGCCCAAGGTTGTGAAAATAACAATGGCCATTGTTATTTCATTGACCTTTCACGCTTTAAACGTGTTACGATAAAGGGACAAAACTCTAACCAGCGTTTCACGTGTTCGACTTCGTATTAATTTTAATCAACTGGTGAAAATTCGCTGTATTAACCCCATGTTGGGGGCTTTAGTGAAATAACAGTCTCAAGATCTCAGGTCGTTCGGGACCGCTGCAAAGTAAATTATGATGTTTCATTTATAACATGACGCTTTAGACGGGGAATTCATACTACCCAAGAAGGTGTCACAATCAATTGAAGGTTTTTGCATACTGATACAGTTGTTCTGTAGCTCTGGTATGTATATGTCCGAATTTATTTCCCAAAGAGGCTCAGTTCTTCAAAGAAATGTAAGGGCAATAACCCCGGTGAAAATAGGTCAGTGGTCTTGAAACTAACTCAGATATACAAGTCAGCTTATTTATCTATAAGCACACCAAAACAAAATTCCGTAAAACTAACTACGACGGAATGATAGAATTACGGACGGAAATGGATAACGCTATATAGCCCCCTGACCATTTCATCCCGCGGAGGCGTAAGAAAATTACATGGTTATAAGGTTAAAAGGTGAACCTCAAAAAAACTTACCGTGAACGCCCACGATGAGACAAATCACGGATAAACAGGAGACCTTCATTGAGGAAGCTGTGAACAGATCGGCAGTGCTGATCAACATTTTAAGACGGCTTTCTTTATACGCTAAAACTCTTCCGGTAAGGAAAGGACACAAATGGATTTTCCTACCCGCGATACAAGGAAATGTGCGGTCAACAACAAATATATAAAAACATTGAAGAATTAATGTTTTATCATGTGTTTTTAATAATTATTTTACCAAGAAAAATGATAAAAATCTTATTATCTTCTTAAACTAAAACACACACACACACAAAAACTGCATTTCCAAAAAGAAATACCGTACATGACCTTAAGTATGACGGTATGATTTACTTTCAAATAAGAAACTTGAAACTTCTGGAATTCCTCGGATGGACTTTCTGTTTTACATCAATAAATCTCTTGTCATAGTACCAATTCACATTACCATGATTACAGAAGGAAATTGAGTTTGCATACATGGAGAAATATTTACATTTCCAAATATTTTTTTCTTAAGATTCTTTGCAAATTAGAAAAAGTTCGTGTTCTCATGAACTACCATGGGTTGAGTAAGAATATTTCCATTGTGGTGTGATTGAAGTCAAACTTTTTTTCTTCAAAAAATGATCGTTGAATGACAAAAATATGTGGCAAGTCATCAGAAAAATAATGTAAATATAAGATATTTAATTTTTGAGATTTCATGAGGTACATGAACTACAACGCTTCATGAAATATGCCGCCGTGAAGCGTCGGAGTTCATGTCCTCATGAATTCTCAAAAATTAAATTCATCTCTTAAAAATCTGGGTTTGAACAATTCAACATCAAGGTTCTCTGTCATTTGAAATTTTACTGTGTTGCAGACTTTAAGTGAAGCACTAATATTCGCGATCAAATTCCCAACTGAACCCTTATTCATTTTTAATTACAAAAGCATATACACACACAACTTTTTTTTGAATCACTAATTCGATGCTTATATATGCTGCTGATATGGTACTTATGGCTGAATCTGCTGAGGAACTGCAGAAATTGTTAGACTCTTTACTTTTATATAATCAAGAATGGAAGTTGAAACTAAACACTGTAAAAACAAAAATTGTTGTGTTTAGAAATCGTGGAAATTTAAAGATATCTGAAAAAATTTTGTATGATATGTCATGTTGTTAATTTTGAATTTACCGGGTGGCAGTAAATACAAAATTTACAACATGACAACTTTTGTATTTACTGCCACCCAGTAAATTCAAAATTTACAACATGACAGAGGGTAAAGAACTGGAAATTGGTAATGAATTTAATTATCTAGGTATGCTGTTCAATTACAATGGAAAATTCAATATTACTCAAAAGCATGTCTCTGATCAAGGTCGGAAAGCATTTTTTGCAATTAACTCAAGAATAAATAATTACTACCTAAACATTGAAACTAAATGTGCCGTTTTTGATACATATGTAAAAAGTGTTTTGTCATATGGAGCTGAAATATGGGGTTTTCACAAGGCCAAGGATGTTGAAAAAATGCATAGCAACTTTTGTAAGAAAGTTTTAGGTGTGAAATTATGTACCCCAAACAATATGGTGTATCATGAATTAGGTAGATTATCTTTGAACCTTTCAAGGAAACTTCAAATCTTGAAATATTGGCTTAAATTTAAAAATACAAATAACTGTATATTAAGAGCATGTTATGAAGAAAGAATAAGGAAAAATGACAAATGGTTTATGAAATTAAGAATGAATTTGATAAGCTTGGTTTAAGTTATTTCCTGTTCCAAAACTTTGATACTCATAGCGAGTATATTATAGTTAAGCAAAGATTCTTTGATATGTATATCCAAGAAATTCTTTACAATATTAAGATATCCACAAGGGGAAAGTTGCATCAATATATTATAGACCATTTTTGTCTATAGTATTATCATGTTGTAAATTTTGCATTTACCTCCCCCTAGTAAATTCAAAATTTACAACATGATAGTATTATTTATCGAAACCCATTAAACATGTATACAAAAAATATATCACATGCTTTAGATTGTCTAGTCATAAATTACGGGTTGAAGAAGGTAAATATGTTAATGAAAGTAGAAATAACAGAATATGTTTATTATGTGACTTGAATGATGTAGAAGATGAATTCATTTTATCTAAACATGCCCTGTATATCATGATCTCAGAATACAATATATCAAACAATATTATGTTAAAAAAAAGGTGTCTTTAAATTAATACAATTGTTAAGTGTTCAAAATGTCAAAGAAATGTCTAAATTGGGAAGATTTTTGTTAAGCGTTTCACAACGAAGATTAGAACTACTAAATTGTTTGTAGCATATAATATGTATGTATATATTTAATATATATAACACTGAAAGAATCGAATAGTTTCATATATGTAGGTCTATATATATATATATATATATATATATATATATATATATATATATATATATATATATATATATATATATATATATATATATATATATATATATATATATATATATATATATATATATATATAAGGTAGCAATTTTGCTGAAATTATCAAGCATAACTGTTCATTTTGTATATTTTGTGTCATACTATCTGATGAGCCATATGGCATTAGGAAACTAAAGATAAGAATAAGCATTCTGAGAGTATTGCATTAGCAATACTAGTCCCCTACCGGCAAGTGTAATCTGGTTCCCGTTAAAAATTGAAAATGCCATAAATTCATCAAAAAATCAGTGAAGCGGGACGAAGTGTAAACTTGATCTATAACTCATCAAGATAAAGTCACATACCAAAAATCAGCTCAATATCTGCAAGCGTTTAGAAAAAAGTGCGGAAAAACAAGTGGGACTGACTGACAGACAGACAGACAGCTAGACAGACAGACGGACGGACGGACAGACTCAGAGGAAACCTATAGTCCCCTCCGGTTTCACCGGTAGGGGACTAACAAGCGAAAAAGTAATGGTAAGCATCTTCAACAGAATCGATACACTGTTCACACATTGGTGTTTCTGATAAACATTGGCTATATAAGTCTGCCTTCAAATTACTTGCATTGTTCCTTAACTGTATGGCAATGTATTATATTGTATTTTTAGTCCCCTACCGGTGAAACCGGAGGGGATTAAAGGTTTCCTCTGAGTCTGTCCGTCTGTCTGTCTGTCTGTCCCTCTGTCTGTCTGTCAGTCTGTCCCACTTAGTTTTCCGCACTTTTCCCCTAAATGCTTGCAGATATTGAGCTGATTTTTGGTATGTGAGTGAATCTTGATGAGTTACAGATCAAGTTTGCATTTCGTTCCACTTCAATGATTTTTGACGAAATTCAATTTTTCAGGGTTTTCCGCAATTTTTTTTATAAACGCCATCAGATATTGAGCTGATTTTTGGTATGTGACTTAACCTTGATGAGTTATAGATCAAGTTTGCAATTCGTCCCGCTTCATTGATTTTTGACGGAATTATGGCATTTTCAATTTTTAGCGGGAACCAGATTACACTTGCCGGTAGGGGACTAGTATTGCTAAAGCAATACTCTCAGAATGCTTGTCTTATTAGTCCCCTACCGGTGAAACCGGAGGGGACTATAGGTTTCCTCTGAGTCTGTCCGTCCGTCCGTCTGTCTAGCTGTCTAACTGTCCATGTAGCTGTCCCTCTGTCTGTCTGTCAGTCTGTCTTACTTGGTTTTCCGCACTTTTTTTTAAACGCTTGAAGATTTTGAGCTGATTTTTGGTATGTGAGTGTATCTTGATGAATTACAGATCAAGTTTGCATTTCGTTCCGCTTCATTGATTTTTGACGGAATTACGACCTTTTCAATTTTTCAGGATTTTCCGCAATTTTTTTCTAAACGCTTGCAGATATTGAGCTGATATTTGGTATGTGACTTTACCTCGATGAGTTATAGATCAAGTTTGCATTTCGTCCCGCTTCATTGATTTTTGACTGAATTATGGCATTTTCAATTTTTAACGGGAATCAGATTACACTTGTCGGTAGGGGACTAGTATTGCTTATGCAATACTCTCAGAATGCTTGTTCCAGTATGAAATAGTTCATTACTTTTTTTAAACAAAATTAAGAATTCAAAAGACTTTTAAATGATGATATTCCAGGAGCATTTCTGGTATAATCTGGCAAGTTGTTCCACAGTTTAACTGTTGATGGAAGGAAACTTTCCATGTATGATGTAGTTCTAATATGAGGAATTTTAAATTGTGCATCACTGGTTCTAAGGTTATAGGAATGATATGATGGGCGATAAGGCTCAATCAAATCATGCAAATATTGAGGTGAATAGCCATTTATAAATTCATAAAACAATATCAGTTTATGAACCTTCCTTCTTGTTTGTAAAAGATCCCACCCTAATCCATCATCAGAGGAGTTACATCTTAACCCAGTGATAATTTTATCTGTTTCAACTTGAATATCTTCTAAAAGTTTTGAGTCTTTTTCAGAACAATTGTCCAAAACAACGTCGGAATATTCCAAAACAGGTCTAATAAATGCAAAATCCTCCAATTTATTATATAATATATTAACTAGTATCAAATGTTTTTGATTTTTTCTCGATATGTTTACATGCAAATGTGTAGTTTGCTGTCGTTTACAGTTTAACTAGACTGAAGCGAGCAGCCAATAACAGCAGCCATTAAGCCCGTAGAAGCTAGCAGCCACTAAGGAAATTCATCAAAGGACTGAGAGTACTCTGACGCAATACTGTTTAATGCCTCATTTTCGACAATTTATAATTAATAATTAGATAATTAATGCAACACTTAATTATTAATTAATAATTCAAACACTTGGAGGCAGTTAAGCTCACCTGCATAAGGAAAATTCTGCGGTTTCACAACAAACAAACAAACAAACAAAAAGAAGAAAATGTCACCATCTTTGACCGCTTAAGAATAAAACAGCATTGGATAGGTTAAGTACTTCCGGGAGAATCCCTTTTAGGCTCTTTTACGGGTCTCAGGAACATGATGGTGCAAAAAGGCTAACCTGAAATTTGCTTACTCCTAATATTTACATTGATAAGGGT